GTACTGTTGGACGCGCGACACCGCGTACCTCGTCGTCATTAACTTGGCGAGCTAACGCACGAAATGTAGATACGCGCGTGTAAACCCGACACCGACGACGTGCCCGTCGACACGGAACCATTTAACCCGATCGGCGCACGTTCGATTCTTGAAAGATCCTTCTCGGCCCCGAGAACTGTTTTGCGGCGGTAATTCGATAGAACAAAAAAGAGAGATCGTTCAATTCTGCGAATCATGATCAGAAATATTTGTACTTGGTAACGTGAATTCTACCCGGGAAGACGTTACGGTGCGAATTAATCGAGCATATTACCGTCGAGCGTTAAATTAATATTGAAACGCGCTAGTGAAACGCTGACGCTGCGTTTCGCGCGACTAATAATAAGCCAGACGCTCGAGTACCAAAATTGATCACAGGCTCTTCTTTGGATAATAAAATATTTGTAAAAATAACTTAAAAATAGTGAATTATTTTCATTCGACTCTAGCGACACACAGTCTGTACGATCAAGATACGCAGTCGGTCGAGCAGAGCGGAGCCGGAGCGTATTTAAAAACAGAAGCGAACCAACAGACCGGTTAGACACCAAGGAGATCAACCCATTGGTCGAGTGATCGGGTAAAATGAATCTTTCATGTCACACTTTTCTCCGGTCATTATCAACCCGCTAAGGATTCTTACTATTTTTTTTTTTTCCAACAGGCAACGCGATCCAGATACTCTGGTTTGGCCAGTAAGCCGATCTATGGTGTCGCGAGCAGTCGCTTGAAAGTAGGATAAAATTCGAAAGAGAATCACGTAGACTCACCTCGATAAGGTGCCCTTGAGAAGAGGATTTCTGTCGTCATAGTATCCACCGGACGACGGCATCTTCAAGTAATCCAAGCAATGGGCACGTGGCACTTGGCACTGACACTACGGCACTGCATCACTGTCGCGTGATCTGTTAACTTTCCATTCACCGTAGCGACGATATGTACTTACTCGGTTTAGCTAAGTGCACGACGCATCGTTTTTCCACGCGAAATATACTCTAGCGCGATTTGAAAATATACCCGGCACTCGCGCTAAAAGCATATCACGAAATCGCTCGTTACATCGGCAACCGGATAACTAGCTTTCATAAGGTTACGTGGAAGAATCTCCTTGAGAACTGTCCGTCGAGATAACGGCCGGGCAACACTGTCAACAAGTTGTCGTTACGCCTAACCAAACGTCTACACTCTCTCGCCAATTATCCGGATAGGTTTCTCAATTTCTTCGATACGTTGATTTACATGTTCGACAAGGATCGTTACGCAATCAGCCGATGATCCTTTCGGTATGTTCTTCTAGGTTAACCTAAAGGCAGAAATTTTCGTTTAACGAACACCCTTCCGACGCGCGCCGTACCTCCCCTCGAACTGCTGGCGAGCTTCCTCGACACGTGCGAACTCTGTTGCCAAACATGGACGGCTATCAAACACAACCCCTCCACTTCGTCCACTTAACGATACGATCATCTACAACTCAAACCCGTCAAACTTTCGCGCGATATCATCGAGGAGGTTAACCGCCGCAAAAAACTTAATCGTTCAATTATTCGATACATTATTCGTTGCAATCGGAGGTTATTTTCCACTCGGACCGTCCAAGGATTCCCGCCAAAACTATAACTACGCTCGATTCACTCGGGTGAAAGTCCTTGCGGTGGATATTCGAACCATTGTAGTCGCTTGCATTTTTTTTCCACCAACATTCGAAACGCACGAAACTTAACAGACTGGATCGAACGATTCTGTACTTTTCACTTGGTTATTCAAAAACTAGAGTCGGTGTCGGCCATAACGATATCCACTATCCACGCGTGTATTCCAGCAAAGAAACGTTAAGATAAAGTGTCACAGTTGAAAGCGGAACGTACCAGGTGAGTCCATCGAGCACGTCGTTTATTTATAAACTAAGGGAACCCGGGAGAGAACGCAGGAGCGTCGGAGGCCAACGGCGTTGTCCCTCGCGTTTGGTTTACCGTTCGTAAACTACACTGTGCCCGTACTTCGAGGACCACGTGTTACTTGTCCGATCTCACGATTGGTCGTACGATTCCAAGATGGCGCGACTATTAACCTGTCAATGCAAATTCATAACACTATGCATTTTTTCGACAATTTTTAAACGCTTTTACCCAAAAAAGGTTCATTACCATCGAAAAATAAATTATTTTATAAATTTATGAAGTTTCATTCTGTCATAACGATTTTAGAAACATTCAATTAGAATCGCTTGAAAATCAAATATGTACGATGTTTCGTTAACGGTGTACCGACGCGAAAACAAAGTGGCAGAAAGATAAACTATAATGTAGAAATAAAAAAATATGTTATTAAGTACGCAAAGAGTCATCCATTGCAACAGTATGTCATAAGCTATAATTATTCCTTTCTCCCACAGGTTTCCGACTCGTCTATGCACTTTCACTGTGCCTTCTACGACTCTCGAGTCAAATGCGTGCTAAAATTATTGATATAACAAAAAGTGAGATATCGTTTTAACAATTAATCGTACCTTTTTCTTCTACATTATTTTCTTCTAACAATTTATGATTTGATAATATTAATCAGAAGTTGTATATAACAAGTCCATGATCTGGTTTCTAATATTTCGTGAAATAATTATAAAGCGCAAGTCGAATATTAAATCGTAATAATCCACCAGATAAAAACACGAGAACAGCCTGTAATCCTTTTACGAACCGATGCGATGTACCGTTCTCGCTAGCGATCCAACTCGAAAGTATCCGGTATAACAAGGACAAATGACCTACTCGTCGATTTGCTAAGATTTTTGAATATCTAATACAATTTCTATCATTTTCCAAAAGCTAATTAGTATAAACTATTTTGATAATGATCCCCCCCTACCAAATATATTCTTTCCCTTCAAACAACCCCGACACATTTATGATTTTTGTCATTTCTTGAAAATGCTATTGTTAAAATTTTGTTCAACTGTGAACCAAGATGTTTTCGAAGATTGGGTAACGAGGCGAAAAGTCGAGGAGTAAAAGCGTTACGTGATTCAAGGACGTACAGCTAAGTGGGATCGTGATCCATTCGATAAGCAGCTGTAGGTGCAACGATCGTTCTACCCTTATAGACTGGCGTGTATTTATGCGCGGCGCTGATCGTGGTAGAAAAAGGCGCCCTCGTCAACTATCCGGCCTACCACGAAACAACAAAAAAAAAAAAGTAAAAAAAAGAAGCCGAGAGACTCGAATGCTTGCTGGAAAATCGGTACCGTAAGCGTTCCACTTCTCTTTCGTTCTCTTTCTCTTTCTCTCCTTCTCTTTCCTAAAAGAAAACCGCTCCGGAATCCGCGTCTCGGAATGCGAGGCGACGAGACTCGGCTTAGCACGAACGCAACCTGTCCACGCTGTTTCCCCTACTCAGACCTGCTGCTGCCTGATCCTCCTAACTCTACATAACCCATCCCTACTCAATCTGAACGATGCAAACATGATTACACTCACACCAAGGAACATGCCATTGCTACTTCATACATAACTGCGTACCGTATGATGCGTCGCATCGTTTGCCAGCGTCTCGCCTGATCATTTATTCATTTACTACGCGCATACATTAGCGAATAACAAAAACCATTTGTTTATTGTTTCTCTAATTGAAATTAAGAAAAATTTGTTACGACCACGCTGTGGTATTATATTTCAAATTTCTTTCCCTTCCTTTTCATAATAAATCGATTATACATATAAAATTTGAGGCGGCCGCCGCTACGGTGGCCTCCGTGGAAGTCGACGTGTGAACCCCGTCGCTGCTCCGTGCGACCGTAGTCGTCCCAAACATTTATATTTTCACATAAGAGACATGCAATGGAAATTCAACCCGCGAATAGCGAAGCTGAATCTTTGCTAATGATTTTGGTTATAAATTCTACATGAAATTAAAAAAAAAAAAGAAAATGTGAAATTGATAGAAAAGTATTATTTAAAAAATTCCTACTTAAGACACGAAGATTCTGTTCAGCACAAATGGAATCTGTCCACACACTATTTCCTCTCTACCATCTCTGCCTCGCGTGTTTCCCCTTCACCTCCTTTTCTACACCGTTTTAACATGGTGTAAGTGTTCGCACACTAAGCTAATCACGGGTGTCTATATTTGTCGGATCTTCGTCGAAGATACGTGCGGATACTAACACTTTCCTGGCTATTGCTACGTGCAACACAGTTTCGCTTATTTATCCTACACAAGTGAACCCGATACGTGTAGATATAGCACGCATCTTATTTACCGAGCAGCCGACAGAGAAACAAAGAGAAGGAAAAGAAAGGAAGAAAGAGGAACAGAAAGATAGCGCTGCAGACACGACACGAGGATTTTTTTTTTAAATTCGATGCACGTTCAAACCGGATGATCGACTTCAGCGATAATCAGAGCAAACGATACATTTGTAAACATTTGCAAAATTTTCGTTTATAACGAACAGTAATTTCGACCTTCGACAATGAATGGGTTAGATACTTACAAATATATCGTCGTGATTCCTCCGCCTTTTCGATTAAAATAAAACGAATTCTTTACGTCCGAAGTACGTACGAAGATATATCTGCGTCGTTAGCATACACTTCGCACTGATGGCTGCACGAAAACACGCGCGATTACAAGCACAATTTCTGGAATCTTTCGCTTCCGTGAGCCGTGTGACATACGTTGGTGAATACACGCGCGAGAAACATGCCCCTCCTCCTTTTTCGTTTCGCATTGCCGGGCATACAGGCCACGTTCTGTTTTCTTGTGCACACTCGCAAACACCACCGATCAGTCCCTAGGAATAAGGTCGTTCACAAGATCGTGCCAAGAAACGCTACCGAGAAAACGCTTGTTATTTGTGAACCATCGTTCTCGGTCGTGGTTCAAAGACGCTTGGTTCGTGGTTTAACTCATAACCACGTCAACGATTATGCATTCAGCTACGATTACCAAAATAAGCATCATCGAAACCACGGATAAAAGTTTGGCATACGGTAAAATTTGAAACACGAAGCGTAACAGGCGCACGTTAAAACACGGAACACGATTTTCACGATTAACCACGGAAATCGAGCAACTCGGATTACATTCGTATTTCAATAATCCAAGTAAGGTGCTTTATCGTTTAGAAAGTAACGCTCTACATCGACGACCTTGTTCTTAGGATCTACCACATAGGCGTTAATCGTATCAAGCATCTATCAACATTCAAGAATCAAACGTGTAAAAGTTTCGCACGAAACGTGTAGAGGGAGCTGGCCGCAGTTGTCAACGGCGTACGGCGTACGTGAACAGAAGGCTGGTCGATATGGGGAGAAAGAAATACACTGGTAAAATGTCGATCGTCGAGTGGCACGATATCCATCGGATACGTACTGGATGGAACGATTAATCCTCCGGTTCGTCTTCTTTGTCGTAATCTCGGACGGCAAGACGGCACGACGGTACTATGACAGTTTACCTCACAGTAATGGCAAATGCGTTACGACGATCTGTCACGTGGTTAAGGGGTAAAAATGATCCGCAGGTTTGCACGTGTACGCCTACTCGCGTTCGTATGCATACTTCTATACACGTGAATTACGCGGTCGAAACGTGTATTATCTGTGTTGGTACGCGAAATATACATATGTATACGTTGAATGGCGGCTGTGCAAAAACGTCACAACGAGACGGCGCGTGGACGGTCGCGGCTGAACTGATCGTGGGGGTCGAGCCACAGGTGTCATCAGACGACGGCTGCTCCACCCCTCTGCCCCCACTGTTGCTCCCACACCCGCCCTCGATCCCCACTCCCATTCGCTACTTTCACGCACACGTCCAGCCCTGACGAAGGAGACGCGTGCGCACACCAGCCGGCTTCCTCTGTAATCATGCAATATCATTTCGTCTACAGACGCGGCGCCTATGACCGCCTATGACCGCCTATGAACGAGGCACGTGCTTCGCATAGCTTCTTTTCAAACGATACCGACTATACTTTTTTTTTTTTCTATTTTCTACATTGCTTCTCTTGCTTTCAACGCAAATACCAACATGTAATATCGCACGATGAACCACCTTTGTTTCAACACAGCATTTGTTTATTGATTGCCTTAAACACTATTATGTAACACTAGGGATCTGAAGATAACAGAAAGGGAAGCATAAAGTGTCTATTGATTATCTTCATCTATTGAAAAACAAAAGTTAATGATTAAATCAAAACATTCGTAATTCAAATAGATATTTATTCAAAAACCAGTGTATTTCGTGACAAAACATATAACGTCAATTATTGACGCAATGCTCATGAAGTATTCTCATTCGCTCAATCTCATTCACACGAATCCCTCCCTCTCTGTGATTTATACTCTTTATACTAACTATATGTATATTTATAATATATATATATAGATATATATATATATATATAAATTTTTTTTCTTTACGTTAGCTGTATAATATATAGTATTTTCTATTTCCATCATTCCTGTTTCATTTCGTATCATGTACAATTTATCATTGTAACGTTAAAATTCTATCCATAGTCTAATTACATATACAGTATGTGTGATATGGGCGCTTTCAGCCGCTGTATCTCTATGCGGTACGTACATTTCCCACGCACCCAAAATTTTCCCTCTAATTAGACGCGAGCAAATAACACGAGCTTTCATTTCGTAATAAAACAGAAAATCAGATTTCCGTTAAAAATAGTCTATGGAATATATGCATCAATTCATTATTTAAAAAAAGAAAAGGAAAAACGAAAATCAATCGATCGTTCGCTCGACCGTCACATCTTCGACGCTAAGCTACATCTAGAAAAATATTTACCGATTCTCTAAGGGGGAAAAGTTTGCAAGTAACGTTTGTTTTCTTGCCGCCTTCTAGCGTGGAAGAAACACGCCGATTTTTCATTAAACGATAAAGGTAAAGTCGCATGATCGGACTTCGGAACAGATCGTTTTACTAAACCTTTCGATCGCCCTCGACTTCGTCACGTGTCGCTCGTGAGATCCGCACGACCGTCCTGGGAAACGGAAGTGCTACTCACTTACCCTCTGCCTCGTCCAAAAGATACTCTTATCTTTCTCGTAAAAAAAAAAAGATCTGGTACACCGCGAAAGAGAGTTAAGCACGTTATTGTTGGAAATCGTTCGGAGAACCGCTGTTTCGAGAAACGTACATGTAAAGGAAAGTGTAAAGGAAATCCTGGTATTAGTATGTATTTTTATTTTGTGCAAATATAAAAAATTCTTTGTACGGTTGTAAAAATTTGTCAAAGTAAAACCGTACGCCTTGATTTTCGAGCGTGATACCAAATGGTAATTGATTAAGTTTTTCGGGGTGGGTTTTTTGTAACGTAAACAACTCGATAATACCATGTCAACATTTAATGCAAATCTACGTTTCACGAGCAAATGATTTATAATTATAATAGTAATTAATCAAGGGGAACACGTTTTGTCCGAATCATACATTATAATGTACGTAATATAATAATATTTTTACATTTCGTTTCTACTTGATTTCACTCTCGTAAATTTTATTAAAGGATAGAATAATTCCGCGCTGCTTTGGGCCGATTCGTTGATTAGCCACGTCTATGAAAGCAAATAGCAGAAAAGTCGCGCTAGGCGCGAAGTTATTAATCGCTAGTCAAAATTGAAAATCTATCAGAAGTATCCCAGGACGAATAATTCGATGGTATGAAATGACCGATACGTTATTCGTCGCTTCTCGTTATTTGTTGCCTGATAAACATGCCAGGATACGGTAAAGCATAATCTATGATGAAACAATTATTAAAAATATACAATTCTCTTATTGTGATAAAAGAAAAAAGAACCTAAAACGATGGCCATTTTCTTGCATTATCTAATTATTCTGTTCAGCGAACGCTTTTAAAATACCAAATTTTGTACAAAATCGAGAACCATGTCCCGTCAAATTATATAATTGCACCAATAAAGCGTAATAATCTATCATTATTTCTTTCTAACAATTGTCGTTCCCGCGCGCATCGCCCCGTTAATAATTTTAACGCGAATAGAAAAAAAAGAAACTGAATACGATTCTATACTGCATTACTGAAAGTGATTAAAAAAACTGAACAGAAATTATTTGAAAGCCTTGCTTCAAACAGTATCGTAAGGCACATTTTCGACACGACCCGAGTCTCTGAAATAATCTCAAGCGAGGGGTGCGTTTCAACGAGATCGAAGTCGGGAAGCGACTCGAGAGATCGACCCTGTTCGAAGACTTACGCTGTTTTGTCGAGAAAAGTAGTCGCCAAATGAAAAAAAAAAATTCATCCCCGTGTACATACGCAAAAAGGAGGCTCTTAATGAAAGATAAAAAAAGACACGTGTAAAAAACAAAAAGAGAACAATACAAGTATATACTTTATGTATACATATATATATATATATATATAGATTCATCGCGTGTTTAATGTGCATAAAATTGATGCTGCTGCACACATTCAATATCGGTCAAGATTTGGTTTCATTCATCATGGTTTTACATTTAACAGAACTTAGTCTACTTTTCAACAAATGTGTTACGACACATTAAAATAAATGTCGTGTTTCGTGCGGCGTCTCGCGAGCAGTAGCGCTTTCTTTTTACTGCTCATCCGCCGACATACGGCGCACTACTCTTCTCTGGTAGCGACGGGAAACAACGTTAGATATTGCAATAAATATGGTATAGCAAAAGCTTGGACGATGCATGCTCCGTTAGAACCTGGCTCTGATGTAAACGGCGGAGGCATCGTGTTCACCGTAGCCAAGCCGTTTAGCGTGTTTGTAAACCTCGTTCGCTGCGGCGGCCAGCGGTAATGGTTGTTCCAATTGATCGCTCATACCTAAGGAGAGTCTTAAATCTTTCTGCATGTGCTGAAGCGGTAACTGCGTCGGAAAACCACCCTCGATGATGGCTAGAAAATTAAAGAAAAGATTATTTCAAAAGACACAGGAACAAAGTTCTTTTATGATACTCAAAAAGGTAGCTTCGACGTCAATTGTGAAAGACGGCACGAATTTATGAAACGACCTACTATTAACGTGTAAAAGCTCATTAAAATCTAAGGATATCGTTTCAGGAAGTCTCTTTGTCAGTGGTACTACTTAATCCGTAATTCCTTTTCTTTGAATAGCCAGCACAGTAGGCCTTTACCTTTTCCTTTGTCAAGAATCGCGGGACAGGCCAATGATGTCAGTTCTAGAACTTCCAGTACGTCCTTTTGTTGAAGACCGGCGCGATCCGCTAGAGCCATACTCTCTGCCAAACCGGCAAGAGTTACTCCGGCCATCAGTTGTAGGACGAGGTTCATTTTAGAAGCATTGCCAACTTCGCCCAGGTAAAAACTGTTTTTACCCATCGCCTCGAAACAAGACTGACACTCGTCGAAAAGAGTCCGGTCACCTGCCGCGAGGATCACTAGAGTACCCTCTTGTGCTTGCGTTTTGCTACCCTGTACTTGAGCCTCTAAGTAACGACCACCTTTTGCGGTGATTGCTTCGGCAATATCTTGCGATGTCTCCGCGTCTATACCGGTCATCTCCACGTACCCTTTCTCCGGGGATATTTCTGTGAGGACCCCACAGTTTCCAAACACCATCTACAAAATAATTCATATTTCCTTATGTTTATAAACGCTCTCTATTTTTGCATATTATAATTACAAAAATTGTTACTCACGTCTTTGGCAGCCTGAGGATCAGCCACACACGAGAATGTGATATCAGCAGCAAGAACCACATCGGACGGTGTTAAACCTTGTTCTGCTCCTGCTTTCACAAAATCTGCACACTAAACAAAAATAAATATAAAAAAAAACGTCAAGTTTTGCTTTTTATATCGTTAATATAAGAGATAAACAAAATATATACAAAGGATTGATACAAAAATATATAAATAATAATTTATAAATGTAGATTTGTTTAAATGATATACATTTTTTCTAATTTTTTGTTCTATTGATAAATTGTATTACGGTCAGGGTAAGTTTTTAGCATCTCAGCGACACCGCTCGGTGCAACGTGAAATTTCAAGGAAAAATCTAACGATCACGGTTCCGGTAGATGTCGCCACAACGAGCCACTCGCCATTTTCGACGCCATTCCTGTCACGTACCATCGTCTCAACGGCTTCGAAGCTAAACGTTCCCAGACTTGCTGCCACATCAGCAAACGACGCCATTGCATCATACAAAGATATTTTCCGCATACGGCCAAAACGGTGTATCTGTATCGTTTATTAAGATTCAAGGGGATTACAAAAACGTTTTAATTCTTTCTTCAGACCTATAACGAAACATTTTTTGATGAATATTATCTAGATATTTCTGGGATTTTCAATATGTCGACACCGATACGGATGAGGATCCCGTTAACGAAACAATAAAATGAATCATAGGAATGTACGGTTGCTTTTATTTGTTCTGGAACGTTAGATTTCAGTGTTACATCTAACCGAGACTTAGATAACGGGTCAAGAATGACGAAATCCATATTTATATTAGTAGTTGATTAAATTTCATGGGACACGCCTATCTGAGCACGATGGTGCCATTTTTATATACACGATGTTTAATGATTTTTCCACCTTCCCCTTCGCTATATCTATACAGCTCGTACTTTTTTAATAAATAATATTAAAATTTATAAGAACTACTATTTAATAAACGTATTATTCAAAGAGAATATACAGAAATGATATCTATGATACTGACAATTGCGTGCTAGCATGAACGTGGCGGCGAGTCAACAAGCAAGCCAGTTAAGTGTCGTCAACAAAGAAACAAAGGAGACAAATAGGTTACATTCTTTTTAAGTCAGTGAACAATGTATCTTGCTAGCAAGGCGAGCTCTTCAGTAAAATATAAAAAAGACAAGTGTTCGTGTTTACACGAAGGAAACGTAAATAGCTTCTGAAGACGTTGGAAACGCGAAAATAATAAAGTGGCAGAATGTTGTAACTTGAATATAAAGATTGATTTGCGTCTTCTATTGTCTCGTTGCACGTGCGCAAGGGTAATCGGCTAGGAAGTGTACATCGATCGTATTCCTGACCTGTATTATTTTGTACGTCCAATTTATTTTGGCAAGCATAGAAATCCGTTCGTTCGCGGTGAAATAAATTTCATTGTAAACGCACGGATGCTACGAAAAGCTAAACAACGGTAGGATTGAAATGAAAAAAATCAAGCTATCGGTTGAATCGATAACTCAACACTGTACACTAGGCTGAAATTTTCTACTTTGAACATCGTTGTCCCTTGATCGTGGATAAACTGTCTTATTGTACAATTGCGATCTCGTCAGAGATCTGATTTACAGACAGGACGGTCCATCGTGAGGAGACATTGAATAAACGCTAAATGGAAATGGAGAGACGTACGAGATTAATGGCCAAGTAATCTCTATTTTTCTTTTATAGACGCGGATACGACACAACACGTTTCCTTCAATTTTTCTTTCAGATTCTTCCAATTTGCTTTTCGGTGTAAATATGAAAAGATAAATCGGTAACCAGATAAATTTTGTGGAAATGCGAACGCGCGTGTTAGCGAATGACCTTGAACCAACATAACCGACTTGTGTGGCTTCCACGAGGGAAGAAATTCAACGGTTTCCAGGGACGAATGCAACCACATATACGACACAAGTGCACTCTAGCTGCATTCCATATGTGCTCCGTTCCAACGAATCGCAATGCTTTCAAATTATTACGTCCATTACATAGCTTTACGAGCTTATATAATTTTCGGAGAATCCACGGAACGTCTTTGTTTCCCGGAAGTTCGCCAAATTTATCGATCACCGTATTTGGTAATAATAAAACGCGTGATACCGTGCAGAGCCATGTACGTAGAGGAAATCATATTCGGTATTCCGTACCATGTGGGAGCATTTCAAACCTACACATAGTATTTCAAGTAAGCATGTGGGTGGAAGGTTATACACGCTGAACGCTGACGAGGGAACACCGCAAATCCTTACTCATCCATTTATATGAAACATTTTCAGTTTACAGAGGAGAGCTCCAATAGATTTCTAAATTCTCTTCGCGGCTAAAATTTCATCTCCCTCGCGATTCCAGATGCGCGAAATCAAACTGATAGTCAGCCTGGATGTTTCCTTTTTATCCGAGTGGCCTGTTTTCTCAAAAATAAACCGGGGCACTCGGCGGCCAGGGAAGCCTAGGTGTACACGTGTCAATCGAGAAGAGAGAAAGAGAGAGGTATAAACGGACGAGAGTACGAAACCGACATACCAGAATACAAGTTGCAGAAGTGGCGGATGTGGAATCGTATAAACGACGGCAGAAATGGGTTGGAGGGAATAACGGGGGGCTCTGGGTATATCGACCTTTGTGGCTCATAGTGAGCGCGCGGAAAGCACTTGTATAAAATTTCTAATAGCAATTGCCGACATATGCTGTGCACGACACATCGGGAAAGGAAGCAGCAACGAAAGGTACAGTTTGTCCGAAGGTGGAAAGAATTTATCCTGCAAGCTTGTAACGAGCAGGAATTTCCCAAGCGTCCTTACTCGGATTTTAATAAGCTTTTACATATTGATGGATCGAGTGATTACGAATCACTCTGTATGTATACATGGTACCGGGCAAAGACGATCAATAATTTAAAAGATTCTTAACACGTACATCTAGTTAGAACTTGCGAAGGTCTTTTGGGTAGTTATTGGCGAGAAATAGTCTGAAAAACATCTGGACTGATGTGACGTCAAGGAAACTAGCTTTGATAAGAGGCAATCTGCCTGTACAAATATTTTTCCGCAACATCAACAGATAGCAATGTTGCAATTGCGGCAATTTAAGGCAGCCTGCATTAATTTTCATATTATTATTAGCGCAACCGAGCGTGGAAACTTGACTTTGGCAATTAATTTGACCAAACTGCTGATGCGAAAGCTGGCAAAAAACGAGCACGTCGAGACGAGAGGACGAGGAAAGTACAGTGGAAGAAGGGTACATTTACCAAGGGAGTAATTAGAGACTCTTTTGCTTCTCTACAGCGGAAATTTTGCTGAAAGCTTTGCACCGGTAAAAATAACTTTACAAACTACATAAAATTAAAGAAAGCGATTGCAAGAAAGCTGAGTCTACCTTTACCGTTTCTAATCCATTATGTTCCGGTCGACGTTCAAGGACCAGATAGTAACGGACACAATCTTGAGTAAACAAAGAAAGTTGTCCCGAAAAGAATAATTTTCGATATCAAGATAGACAGCAAGATAAGATAGCGCTCGTAACAATAGCAAGTATTTAACTAATTACTGCGGTGAATCGAAGTAGCTTCCGATACCTCGATTATTGGAGACCGAACGACACCCGTTCATTCAGACCATCTCCGAGCGCATTGCACTTTGTATTTGTACGTCCCTGACAGTCTCCGGGTCTATATACGTCGCTCTAAAAATATTATACACACCAGAATACAATAGAAGCAAGTAGTACTTTTTATGTTTGTCATTTAAAATTTTCATTTCATATTTCAAATTTTTAATATTTCGCATCGAACGACTTTGAAATAAATATCGATGATAGCGAATCGAATCTGTAGCACCGGATATTTTCACGTTTATTTTGCTGAAAGCTTAGGTAAGCGTGTTTACTGAATCTCATCTTTCACCAATAATCTATCCAATACAAGTAACGATGTTTTCCTTTACTTCATTTATTTATTTGCCCTTCCGATTTCGTGCGTACTCCGGCGGCCAGACGGTGCAAAAGACGGGTCAAATTAACCTTTGAAAAATATGAGAATCATAGGGAACCGGTAAAGGCCAAGGGGACGAAAGCGACGAAGGACAAAAGCGAGCAAAGGCAAGGATCGGCGGGTGCGGGCCTGCGCCGTCTGACCGACACGTATAAATAAAGAGTCGGGTTAGATGCGGGGTTGCCGGATCTAGGTAATATTGATCCACTCGAACTCGCCACGCTCGGCAGCCGGGGGTCACGGAATGAAAGCCGGCAACCTCGCATCGTTCCCAGCTGATCGAGCTCTACTCGTGTCCTGCTCGACGCCCGACCCGTGTCTCTTCGTTCCTTAGCATTCTTTCTCGCTTCTGTATTCACTCCTCTTCCCTCCTCTCTTTTCATTATAACTAGCAACCGCCACTTATCGCTCCGCCACGAATCGCGCGCAGGCCTTTCCTTTCTTCTTATATCGCCCGCTCTCGCCAACGTTCCGTTTTAACTTCAACACCAGGCGAATTCTTCCTTCCATTCGGTTAACTATACGTATACAAGCTCCGCGAACGATATTATGCAACAAAGAAAGGCTTGAACATCGAGCCAGAAAATACACGCGTTGCCACGAAAGCGTAACGTTTAGCGAATCTACACGTTCGACAGAGATTTCAGCAAAAAATCTCTACTATCTCTAATAAAAGTTGAAATTTCATTTATTTATTAAATTGGAAAATCGACAAAATTAAATTCCACCACTGTTTTAGTATACTGGCGACGTATGATTTTATGCCAAATTTAGTACGGATAGCGACAGAATACAACACATTGTCCTTTAAAATTAGCTACCCTTCTTTCGTCGTTACTACCCGTTCGACGTTTTTAACTCCTCCCGTGAAAAGCGTCTACCAACGCTGTTATGTAATCGCGCTGAACCAAATTCGATGAGTCAGTTACCTATGCATATCTGGTGTCGCTCGATGATGGAAAAATATTATTCAGAAAATGTGTCGAGGATAATGCTGCGAATCTTTTAATTCCATTTCAGACTCGCAATTATCGAATTAGTTTTTTATCAACGCGTGTTTTCTCATTCAAGATAAACGCGATTTCTAAAAGCCCTGTTAATACTATCAACGTGCTTAGAGCGTTTCCTTTCAAAGGATTCCTTCCTTTGTTCTGTTTATCGACGCAATTACGTAACACCTGTTAGTCAATAATTCCGCCTTCATTTTTCATTCATGTTTTCTTTGCTTTGAATTATTGATATCGAACAATCAACGTCAGAGACGAATGTCGCGTTTGGCAAGAATATCTTGCTTTTTAATCGATTCGATATCTGTTCGATCTTCAAACTTCAAATTCGACACTTGAAATTTCTCTAAAAATTCACGCTTTCCATTAAGCTTACAACTATCGAGGCGTTCAATTTAAAAAAAAAAAAAAAAATAATCTATGGACTGAAAATTTATCCGGATATCGATTGGAGCCGGAAACTAAATGGTCCTACAGTTACAACTGTTTCCCTTGACCATGACCGACAAAATGAGAAGAAGAAACCCTTTCTCGACCTATCGAAGTTTAGCAATCAAGGTCAAATTCAATCTGGTTACGAGCATGCACGCAAATCAAGTTTCGAAACGAATTACGAAAACGATTTACAGGGCTACGCTCGAATTGCACAATCCTCGTTAATTGCAATTCGAACACAGCATAATTCAATCAATCGTTTGCCAAACTCGCTCTACGACTCGACAAAACAAATAAAAATGGGACGGTAAAGAAACATGTTGTTGCCAGCTTGGCTAATTAGACATTTTGGCTTGGTTAATTATTAATATTTTCAATTCAAATGAATTAAAATTAATATATTAAAATATCTCGTACTGTTATCTCAAATTGGACGATGGAAATTCCTAGTTCATGAAACGCGACGAGTTGAAAGAAAACTCGAAAAAAAAAAGGAAAAGAGAATGGAACATATGCAGACTGGGGCTTATCAAGCATATCCGCAAGCGTAACTGGAGAACATCATAGAACAGTAGTTTACGTTACACCAAACATTTACATCGTCCACACGAATACATCCTTACAATACAACGCCCAGCTTTCAAACACGTTATTAATAACGTTTTTACGTTGAAATTTATTAATAAGTCTAGCTAAATTACAGGGTTCTTTTCGCGTTGTAGAAAATTCTCTTCTATAGATTGCGCTCTTTTCGAAATTGAATAGAGTTAGTTACGGTTGTCAAAGCCAAAGTCTACCTGGCAATTGTGTACGTGGGCAGTTTGAACAAGTGATTTACAGGTGACCCAGGTTTTATTGCGATAATGAAATTGACGTTTTTCCGAGGAACAAGAGAGCACTGATATAGACTCGACAGTTATCGAACAGTCTGTTATTTAACTACCCATTGAAATAACCTTTTTTTATTCATTTTCCTGAAGATATACGTTTCGAATAATTTTTTTATCTATCGCCACAGATAACTTTAAGTACATATGTACAATCTACTTTCAAATCGAAGGAATCATCGTTCAGGCAGAAATGCAATTTACTGAAATACGTGTCTATTCGTAGCAAACTGAACTTTCTCACGTTCAGGTCAGAAAGTTTTACACGAACAGTCCGAAAACTCGTGTTAAATTGACGTTTCCGTTTAGCTGCTATACGCCATCGAATTCGAACGAATATCAGGGAAACGTGTATGATTATTCGTTTGAATTCAAGGTTACGGAAAAAAGCATTTTGATCCAAGAACACGTTGAATTCCTGGGGGAATATCAGCCACGGTAAAGATCTGAAAGACGCCCCTGTTTTATAAATAAAGCACCGTAATTTATAAAATGGTATCCATTTTTAATACGCATTCACCGTTCTCCTGCCGCAACGTTGAACTTTTCTGCACGTGTAACGAAACGTTCTGTCATTAGATTACTTTCGTGTCAGGCTAGAAATATCGATAATCGCATTTACTAGCAAGAAAATGATCAGTTTCAGTCGAACGATAATTAGCCCACGGACACGCTTTCCAACGTCCTTTGCGATCGCGAAAACATAATTACACCGGTGCATAGTCCGTTTTTTCATAAAATAAAATTTGAATAGCATCTCGTAATTTCTGATTACTCGAAAGCTAACGTCACGGTATCGCTATTTGATTACGACTTAACAAAGAATCTTAATGCGCCTCGGTGTCTGAAGCACTGGGCGCTATCCGAGGCCAAGAGAGGATCTTACAAACGATACCACGATAATCTGGGACAAGCTTAGTTTCTGATTTCCTTACGAAAGAAAAATTGGAAAGGTTTCATCGAGCGAAAGATACGATCGGGTTTGTTTACCGAGGCAGAAAGATGGCTGATAAAAATCAACTAATTAGCAGGTACATATATATATATATAAAAAGAAGCAGCAAAAATGCGTTGACGAGGCGTACGCGTGGGTACGTTGTACGCAAGGTTTGCAAAGAGTAAATAAGTAATAAATAAGCGGGTGGAAGTGTCGGACGATTGCGACAGGATATCTTGTAGGAATCTTGGGCACGGTTAACGGTGGACAAAGAATCGGAATAGAGGGCTGTTCCCCTCTCATCGTCAGGGCGGTTCGGGTAGCCGAGCTGCAGGCAAGATCGGTTTTGCGTCGGCGCGGTTCCCAAGCTCGCAACGTTGCCGGCTTTTCGAGTTCGACGGCTACCACGAGGAGAAGCCAGACTCGGCTCGAACGGATCTCACAGTCGGTTTTTGTCTTTGACACGCGACGGACGACGCTGGTCGATGCACGAGTGTGTCATGTGACACGCGAGAAACAAGAGTAGAGAGAGAGAAATAGTAGTAACACCGTCTCTGTCGTCTGCAGCACGATTGACAGGGTCGTTTAACAACAAAGATAACTACGCATCGCACATCTAAAAAGAAAAAGAAAAAGGAAAGGGAAAATAGAGTGTGATTGTGTGCGTGCGTGCGTGATTGGATGCGTGTGTGTCCGTTTGTATGCGATATATTCATTTTCTAATGCGTACTTGCGCGCGCGAGTGCTCCTCGTACCGGTTGTTACCGAGTGCAGCAGCCGTTCTATGCTGGCGGATTCCCTACCCGTCCAATTTCGGAACTTTGTAAGTCATGGTTTCATCAGAGCGCGCACAATTATGTTACCGGCTCGACACGGCAATAGCAGCAACACCACTGCCACCGCCACCACCGCCAACACCAACAATCTCAACAACTTCCTTGGCGAATCCATAAGACATTGGGTCAGATATTTTGCGAACGGTTAAAGAAGCCCGCCCCGCTTATCCAGCCCCGTGACACGTTTGCTTCGGCATTGTCCGTGTTCCTCTTTCGGTAGGTACAATATAACACACAAAGAAGACACGTATGCCGTCGAAGAAATTCGAACGGCGAGAAATAATTACCGCTTGTTCGTATTTCCCTCTAACCGTCACAATTTCTACATTCGCACGATCTTTTTACGAAGCGGAAACTAAAAGGACGATAAGAGAAATGCGTACGTGTGATGATTCGTGATCGAGCAATACGAGTCATCATAGAAGAGAAGAGAATCAGTCGTTGCGGGTATCGCGAAGACACATCAGGACATGGGAGTTCTTGGTTGTATGCGTGGATATCGTCATATTACAGGTAATAGGAATGAGGAAACGGATTTCGACGTGGGACTCGTGGTGGTGGTTAATCGTTCTTCTGATTGTGGTACACGTTACGGATACGTCGTCGTCGGGCTCGGGGTCAACGTCGTTCAGAACATCAGCCTCGTTGAATTTGGAATGTGCCACGGGTTGCCAGTGCCTGGACGATGGAAGGAGCTTACTATGCCAGGAACGAAGTTTCCTGGGGCTCGGTTTGCCGAAACTGGCTACGAATGTTGTATTGAGAGACGTCCGGGCCGCTACCATACCCGTCGCTGCACTCGAAACTTCGACTCGTTTGAAGAGTCTCGTTTGGACATTGAGCGGGATCGAGCGGCTCGAATCCGGCGTGTTCCTCGCGACCACGTTACTCGAGCACCTCGATTTAGGTGACAATAGACTGACGGAATTGCCGTCGGATGTCTTCCATCCATTGCACCAACTACAGTACCTGAACCTCACCGGCAACCAGTTGAACGTCCTTCCGCGGGCGTTGTTTCAAGGCTTGGATCACCTCGAAGAGATTGGATTGTCGCGAAATCGACTGTCGGTACTTCCTTATCAGACGTTCGCCTCGACCAAGGCACTCGCTCGTTTGAACCTGTCCGGAAATCTGCTGGTCTCTCTGCCAGATCACAGTTTCAGACCGAACGCACAACTCGAGCAACTCGAACTATCCTCCAACAGGCTCACCAAGCTTCCACCCCGTCTGTTCTCTGGCCTCAACCGGTTGAAGATCTTAGATCTGGCCAACAACGAGATCGACACGATACCTCGTAGTCTCTTCGCCGATCTCGACTCGTTGCAACGGCTCGATCTATCCGGAAATCCTATCGGTCACATGAGCAGCGCGACCTTTCAAAGCTTATCGAATTTGCGATGGCTAAGCCTGAAGAATCTACCGTTCACGGTGCTTCCACAAGACATATGGCGACCTGTGAAACAGCTACGCACTCTGTTGCTATCCGGATCGAAGTTGGAGATCCTCCGTAACGATGATCTAAAAGGGTTGGACAAACTGGAGAGCCTGGAGGTGAACAAAAGCCCGTTGCGAGAGATATCTCGACGCACCCTTGATCGTACACCGGTGCTTCGTAAACTCGATCTAAGTGACAGCAATCTCACCTTCCTTCCCGCTAACGTGGCGCAGCTGGCGTTTTTAACCGAGCTGCAGCTGCAAGGGAACCCATGGGCCTGCGACTGTCGCATGTTCTGGTTCGTCAAGTGGGCCGAGAGCAAGGAACACCTTCGAACCGCCTTCCAAAGCGGTTTCAGATGCGGCGACGATATCGACGCAACCGCCGATATCCTTCAAACTCTTCGTTATTTGAAATGTACACCTCCGTATCTGACGTACGCTACGCCCACACAACAATATCTGTTGTTGAACTCGGTGCTCCTCGACTGCGAGTTCAACGGCAATCCTACGCCATCCTTAACATGGGTCACGCCGACACTTAAGGTACTGCATTGGAATCCTGATCCAGCTTTTCCCGACGCTTTTGTCGAACATCCTCCCGTACACGGATGGGAACAAAGTGTGCCGTTCGTTGACGATGGTCGCGTACGCATCCTTGAGAATGGATCTTTGTACATCACGGCGTTGCTCAGGCAGGATGTTGGACAATACAAGTGTTTCGCAGTCAATCCGATTGCCAATGCCACTACCTATATTAGTTTGCAGATGAATCCAATAACGTTACACAAAATCAAAATCATCAGCATCCTGGTAGGCGCTGCCTGTGCCACGGCCTTTCTTCTGTTAACCCTCCTCTTGCAGTTGGTCTATTGTATTCTTCTCAAGTAAGTATATCTCTTTTTCTTTCTATTTCTTCTTCTTCTTCTTTTCTTTTTCTATGTATTTTTCTTGCACCTCCTGTATTCGATCAGATTGAAACAGGCGATTTTCATTGCACCGTCTGAACTAGTTTGTTTCGCTTGGTTTCAGATGCGGCTGTCTGAAGTGGTGTTTCTGCTGCAGACGAGTCGGTTCTACGCCCAGAGGGAAACAAATCTATCAGATGTTGGATAATATCGAGCAATACAAGAGCCAGCAACTCGAAAGGCTGCGTGAAAATTATACTCAACAAGTGCACAGGATAAAAGAAAACTGTGCCCAGCAAGTGGAATGGATTCGTGATAGTTACGAAGGTCAAATGAGGCACATTAGAGACATAAGAGACTATGGGACAACTCACCTTACGGCGCTAAGAGACCAATATTACGATCAGGTAATCAATCGGTTCTCGTTTCAGTGTGGTTGGAACTTTTGTCACCGGTGTTCGCCAAGTTCCATCAACCACGAGAAACCATTCGCGACGAACGATTTATAAATATTCACCGTGTTATTTTCTCTGGTTTGAAAACAGGTGAGAAAAGTAAGGGATTACTCGACCGGTCAGCTGAATTGGGTTCGAGAAAACTATGTCTTCCAACGTAACAAGATTAGAAAGTTCAGCGCTCATCAGGTTCTGAGACTTCGCGAGAGTTACAAGTATCAGCAGCAAACGTTGAACAAGGTCCTAGAAAATCTACCGAATCTCTATTTCGACAATTGTCGAAGCGGTTCCTGCGGGAAAAGCGACTCGATGGTGTTCAATGCGAAGGAGGAAGGCGGTACCTACTTCAAGGCGAAGATCAACGACCTGGTGATCGGTACGAGCACAGAGGATGTGAACAGCGAGTATTACACGCCTACGGAACTTTCCTCAGTTAGCCCGCACGGTGGTAACGCGTTGGAAGGAATCCATATAAATTATATCGAGGAAATGTGTTCATCGATTCGAATGGATCCGCTGTCGGCGAGCGACATCATTCCACCGAACGCGATCATTCTGCACAGTATCGAGGAGGATGGAAGTTCCTCGTCGGTTTACAAAGACGCAGACCACGCCAAGCCATTTTACAGAGGCTTCAGCGCCGAAGCGTTAGCCAAAGAGCCTAAAGGAAGTGCAGAAAGTCTTGGTCTTCTTGTACCTAGTAACAGTTTACCGGAACTACCACGTGAAACCAAACTTTAGAGACAAGGCTGTAAACGACAGCGTCGAAAGGGTACTAATCTCCACCACTTCTCGATCTTTCTCTCTCTCCCCCTTTATACAATACACAGCAGGAATACAATTAAAACGAGAATTGAACTGCCACCGGATCATTATGCGAGTAAAAGCAAAAATATAATATAGAAGTGCCTCTAACACCGGTAAGTGGGAATACACATTCGTGACGTGGTACCTTTATCTCTCGTGAAACTCTGTGTTTCTTTCTTTTATTTTTTTTTTCCTTCTTTTTCTTTGTTTGCTCAATAATCTATGGAAACGATGAGAGAAAGAAGATCGCCTACGAGAAACCAGGAGAGACATAGAACGTCTCTCCCTACCGGCATCGATGGAATCTGTCGATCGATCCTGTGTGCGTGTGTGTATTACTTCAAAGAGAATAAAATGAAAAGAAGAAAAGGTAAAAAAAAAAAGTGGCGGACAGCTTCCAAGGACTTTGGTCGTGACCAGGTTAACGACCTTGCAACCTGTCCGCCCTTACGCTTCGCGCTTTTCATCGCGATAGTTATCATCCTCGACATCGATGATAATAACGAGATGGTTTTTCTTAAAAACGATTGCTGGAATGATACGCGAGATGTCGTAATGTTAACTGTCAACTGTTTTAACGAACGATAAGTCGCGTGGAAAAAAAAAAATGAAAAAGAACAGACACGAGTGAAGCGGGAATAAAAATGTGTCCGTTGGACGGTTTAGCTGAAATTGTCAATTTCATCGGAAATTAAAGAAAATGATTTTAATGAAATCATAATCCTCCGACTCTCGCGTCAATATTCTCCTGTAAATAAGTGTTTGCGAACGATTTGTGACCAGTTTGTGACAATTTTTTTCTATGAAAAGACTGAATCGACGAACGCGTTTTGTCCGACGATATATCCATTGATCCGATGTCCGACGATAACTGATGATGTACCGTTTGCCGTACCATTTAGGTAAACTTTGTTATTTTCTTGTTCACTTTCGATTTCGAAAGATCCAAGTAGCCGGACATCCGGGCAAACGGTTACCCTTTCCAACATCTGCCGCTCATTTTAAACTCTTCCCTGTTCGATACAATGCAAATTGTCCGAAGTATGGAAATATACAGATTTGAAATTCTATCGAAGAGCAAAAAGTTAATGCGAGAACACCGTGTACTTAATAATCGTAACACCAGTCGATTCGAACAACGATCGCTTTCTGAAGATTTCGTCTAAAAGGAGAAGAATTAGCTGAGAAAATAATATCTAAGCGATATCTCTGAACTTATTATCCTTTTTTAATATCAAGCTCCAAATACTAAAGCCCGATTTGGTCTTCTTAATCGTTTTTATCTGTTCTTTATCAGTTCCGTTCATCGCGTCTTCCTAAGATAATTTTTTTAATCAACTTTCATTACACATATTTACAACTACTTTGCAAAAAAAAAACAAGTTTTTTTATCGTAACTGTAAAAAGAAAATGTGCGAAATCCATTTGAAAGATTGGATAATACGTCAAAATGGCGCGCGGAGAGACCCTCTCCATCTATAGGCGTTAAATGAAGGCGTTAATTCTAATCATGATAATCACGATCACGAAGGTACGATTATGACTATACAATTTGTCATTGTACAGTGCAAATGATCTAAGATGTTATCTTGAAACGAACTTTATTTATTTTATACGATAGAAACGTAAAAGAATTTCGATGAAAACAAAAATATATCAAACGCAACATTTAAATAAGCTTATTAGATAGTACAAATTTCACGTAGAAATGCGATACTTTCGCTATGTTTAATTATTGTATTTCAGGCTCAAATTGGAACAGGTGATCTGTACATTTATTTCTCCATACGGAGAATAGAATATGTCGATATTACACGTTATCTTTAAAGATCTCTACGTACTTTATCTCTAATAATTAAAGAAATGAAAAACTCCAAGTACGGAAAACAATGGACCCGTGTTGAAATTGTAGAGAATTTTTTTTCTTCTTTTTTTAATTGGGATTAGTTTACACGATGGGAACACCGTTAACGAACGAGATAAGAAATATAGTAATGAAACGGTAACGAGAGCATCGTGTAATTAGTTATACGGGTATATCCGGCTTGAACGGCATACATTTATCCTTTATGAATTATTTTTTAAGCTAAATCACTGTTATAATTATAAACGTTTCAAGATCATATTTTTTCTGTCCTTTGAATAAAATCATAGATTTGTACTGAATTTGCTGTAAGTTCTAGAACAAATTCAACGAATTAAACGAGACGTGTCTCTGATCAATCCCTCCCGGAATACTCTGAGAGAGTATTAACGTGGAACAGTGGTTCTCAAATGTCGCGTTTGAACAACTGTTTCCGTTTAAAAAAGACAATTTAATATCTATAATAAAAGACATCTTACTAAGCTTTAGTAGTGTTTAGTGATGTTGGATACTTTTCAAACACATTTACTAACCGTGGTAGAATATTAAATAAACCAAATCATTATGGATTATTGAAACTCAGGTATGATTAGTATCTGATATATTGGTGTACCTTCGGTGGGTGCAACGCAGGTTTTCTTTGGTCAAAGATAAGAGTAAGGGGAGGAGCCTCCCACTACGTGGGAGAACCTAAAGAAATCCCAAGGAGAGCCTATGATAGAACCTCTTGTCCTCGCACGTACAGAACATGAACAAATAAGGCAAGCGATAGAACATTCCTTCCTTTACACTTCCTTTTTCACTGAAGAAGACTAAGCGACACGCAGTGATAAGAGTTACGAGAAAAATAATTAAATGTGATTAAAAAGCGCCAAAATGTTCTTTGAACACTATTGAAGCTTAGCCACATGCCCGTTTTAACCACAATCCTTCCTTTTGTTTATATTTGAAAAAAATAATTGATACCGTTTCTGATACATGGAACATTACGTTGCAAAGTGATAATATATTAAAACCGCGGGAGAATTCCCGGTTTTCTTTCTTTTCACATTTCTCCCTACTCTTAACATCCTTCTTTCGCAATCCCCACTCCCTATTCGGTGGTACGTTATATAGCGTCGAGGCGGCCAAGAAAGCTAAGCTAACAACGCGTGTACCGCGGTACTGCTGCCGTTATTTTTGGATCGTTTCACAGCGACTTCAAAGAGATAAAATTTTATCATCCCTCGAAAATGGGGACGCGACAGACACACCAGAAAACTGCAGTTACCATTTAAGAAACTTAAGAACGTTCAATTGTTACGTATTAAGACTTTTCATTGAAAACGCTAAGCTCAGAAAGGTTGCATAATAAGAATGGAAAATTCTACAATTTTACCATTACCAGTGATATTGATTTTATAAGATAAGAGGACGTGAAAGTGTCAAGAGTATTCAACGCGCGTTTGGCGATCGGCCGCGGATCTAGATGATGGTGTTACAGTATTGCGCATGCTTCACGTGATCCGATTACCGATTTCTTTCTAATTTATGCACTCGCGCGTGCTACATCGACGCGCTTTTAATTAGCGCGTCCGACGTTAATACGAAACTCTCCCTATATTCTATTTTGAAATCTCTGGCATGTTCATCGTTCTTTCAAAAATTATTTATAATTTTTGTTACTTAGAAATTTCGATTTTTTAGTTATAAATTCATGATGACAGTCATTGGTGACTCCTCCACAGCAATGAACGTATTAAAATTTTATTGATACTGCATACATTATTACGAAATTTTACTTGTTATCTTCGAAGCGGTATTAATATATTTCGATTGGCAACGAGTATTAAGAGAAGTCATTTCTGCACTGCGTTTATATATTCAACGCAAGAAAATAATACGGAATGACGAAGACTTAATTTACTTTTAAAGAGTAGTCAAACAAAAAATCACATAGACGCTTAAGCGTTTACTTTCGATAACGCGGGCAGAAATTGTCTATGTCATTTTGAAATGATCTTTGGAACTGATTAGAAAAGGACTGACTATTACCGCTGTGTTTGGGTGCACGAATTTTGGTAGCCACAGATGTATTGTACTTTATCGGGAAATCGCTCGTTGAAGAGAAATAAAAAGGAAAATAGGCTGTGGAATACCATGAAAGGCATTCGTTCGAAAATATTATACATTATTGTGTAGCGAAACGGTAAATGTAAATCGCGTGTGCACTATATTTTATTATATTAGATATATTTAAATCACGTAATAGTTTTTCAATAATCAAAAAGTTCCTCTTACGATGGTACGAATCTGTGAACGATGTTTCGAATGCTTTTGGTAGTTTGTATTTTTCTGCATTTTTTTAAGTCTACTAGCAAATACGTTACGATCGCAAATAAAAAAACTTGTGAAACCATTTAATTTTGTAGAAAAATTCATACTTTTTAGAAGAAACTTAGACCTACCTTTATCTAATTTATAGAAACGAAATTAGTACTTCCACTTTTTTAAACGTTCCTAATTTCCTCTTTATTTTGTATCCATGAAACAAATCACGGAATCTACTTTAGTTTTTTTTATTATCATAGAATCTGTGATGAGAAACGTGAAAATTCTAACTTTTCCAACCGATACGTATCTCACTTTTTGCATCGCGTATCATGTGATAAATATGTGTAAGACAGCGAATCGTTCTCGTTTTTTGTCTCACAAGTGATTTACTTTTCTGTTGCCATCTCAATGTTTTCTTCGAGTATAATTTAAAATATATATAACGTTTAAAAAAAAAAATGTCAAATTTACAACATAATCAATAAATGAAACTATTTATTACAAAAAGGGAGAAATATTTTTTCTATCGCTTTAAATTTCACCTTCGTGAAACTATTCAACAATTATTTTTTTTTATTGAAGGTAAACGAATACTTTGCTGAGGAAATGAAACGCGGTATTGTAGTTCCTGCTGACAGTGCAGTAATAAATTCATAATGAAGGCAGTCGCATCAATTCATTCAAAATATTTTATGTCGCGTTTATTTGTTTTGAGTAAATCAGATTTTACCCGAATTGAAACAATGAAGCAATACTATTGATTATTCTCTATCTTTGATTAATTTATTATGTTTAAACTAAAGCAAAAGGCAAATAAAATGGTGTTAATTAAACGGTGATTCTAGGAGAGGAAATATTATGCGACTTTCTTGATAAAGTATGAAGACGATTATTTTCCGCGATATAGTATTACCATATTATAATTGCATGTAAATATAGTATACCTTCGTATTACATCATAAGCAAATGAAGTGTACATACCTTCTCCTGTGTCCGATTCCATACAATTACACTGTGACCACTGTTGATCAGGTTTTTTACGATGCCGCTTCCCATAATACCCAAACCAAGGAACCCGAATTTCAAGGTCGACGGAAGGATGTTTTTCTCCTTAAGAGTTTGTGACAATGTTTCTACGTCCAAAGGTGGTGTTACCTGTCATATAAGGCAATAAGGTATTAACGATCAGATTTTCCGCTAATTTAAATGTATTCAAAAATGGAAAAATGTTGTAACGATTTTATGATTGACATTTTTAACTTTGTTGGAACTATAATTACCAATTTTATTACCAACTTATACTATTATCAATATAAATAACAAATACCTATCTGGTGGTAAAAGGTTAATGCCTATATGGGAAATTGTATTAGTCTATCAAAAATATGTGATTTCATTTGAATGATCAAAAGTAGAAACAGTTGTAGAATTTTAAATAAGTAACATTGATCTGGTAATTATGGATGGGAATTAAAAGAGGCATAATGTTATTGCTGTTTATTTATTTACATAGATAGGTAAATAGTTATAGAATGCAATGTCCTAAAAAAATTAATTCTCTATAATTTCTGCTGATATAAAAAATCGGACACTATCGTCGATAATGTTTACCAAAAATAACTGCATATGTACTATTGTTGTAAAATATGGATACATGAAGCATACTTACAGGTCTAGCAATATTGGCTGGCCTATTGAGAAGAGTTGATCCTGATTTTCTGGGAGGGGTTGAATGGTTCAACGCAGGACTAATACTTCCAACCCTATTACTATTACTTGTACTTGACTCTCTGCGTTGTTTTTTGGCTGGGCGACGAGCATCACTTCCACCAGTGTCTAATCTTTTAGTTTTTGGTGTTTCCTGAATTAATAATGTATCACATTTTACATTATGCATATATTACACGTGCATCCGACTTATTATATGGATTAAACCTAACCTTACGAGGTTTGGGTGTTTTTACTACATTCTTCTTCTCAGATATACTTTCTTCTTTAAGTCTGTCGAATAAAGAGTCTGGGTCTAAACCATCCTCAAACACCTAAAGCAGATATAATTACTATACCAAACCATGTATTACACTTAATAATATTATGTACACTGATATTTTCCTATTTTTCTAAGTGCTAAAACTATAAGATATTGATAAGACATATTTTAACATACTTTGATGTCAACATTATGCAAAATGTACATACAAAAATAATTTATATCTTAATTATGTAACTTACCTCTCCATTAGCAATAAACTCCTCTATTGCTTCTACTGCATCTTTAAATGCACCAGATTTACTAGATTTTACAAGGGTATCTTTATATTCTAGATATGGCTTTATATTAGATTCCTCTATCCATGCGCTATAAGAAACATTTTCATGAATTTTAAGGGTCATCATATATTGCAAAATAAAAGAGGCAACAAATTTTATTAAAACTTACTAATTGTTTGTTCCAAAGAAGAAAATACATTGAACTGGCCCCTTCTTAGTATTCGTTGGTTTCTTTAAGTCCTTTGAAGGATTAGACACCTTAAGATGTCATGGGGAAATTAGTATACATAATAAAAATGATAAAAACAAGCTATATAAATATCTTCCAAAATCTTAATATTTTATAAATCAGCATTTTTTTTTTAACTAAATACTTATACTACTGTTTAGGTATGATTTCAAAAATAATTTTCAAATAATGAATAATATAAAAAATAAGTACAAGTAATAAATAAAAAATATTACATCTATATTTACACATTATCAAATTTATTTACGGTGGAAAAAGAAATTATAATTACCGCGCAAATTAGATTTAACGAAATGATTTTTAAATCATTAATGAATCGATAATCAAATTTCGTTTCTTGTTGTTATAAAAAGGTATCACAAAAAGAAATAAATGATGCTTCGATATATACAATGTAAACATGCAAGTTTGGTTCATGTATGAACATCGTGGATGAAGTTATGAAATCCCAACAACATAATTTAGGTTATATTTTCGTAACCTGCGCGCCAATTTGAATTCGAAGGTCGGGTACGGCGGGAAATATGTAGGGAGTAGTAGTGGTATCAACATTGTATAAAATACATTAATTTGACAATAGTATGAGTAGTTAAAAAAATCTATCAGGATCCCAAGGCGTTCCCGCCAAATATGATGGCCGCGTTTGACTTCGTGGCGCGGACGGTCAAGCAAAGTGTAGTTACAGAACCGTTAGTAGCTAACTCCAACTTACCCGGCCAGGCCAAGGCGAAAATCCTTTCATCTTCGCCCTGAAATCCATAAAGACATCAATTAGTAATCACTGCTATATGCATTTCACTACTTTGATAATAAACATTCATTGATTAACACAAAATAAGTACACACCATACGAGATCACCTAGTTTGAATACCTCCGACATGATAACACCTTCCTTCCACTTTTACAATCGGTAAGCGACTGACTGACGAGTAGAGCGTCGTTTGTGCATGACGACGTGATCCAAATTACCCCCTCCAAAAGTCATGATTCAAATGAACATCTCTTTATCATTCATACTATCTTTTAACAAGGCATTTTCTGCAAATATATATTAATATATTATTTTATTGGAGTGTATTTCCTTTTCTATTAATAATAACGTTAAAATAATGTTAACTTCGAATCCGAGACTTCCGGTCAAAAGAAAGATTTCGATTCGCTATGCTCCCGTCCTATTGCCTGATTTTCAACGCTACGGTATCAGCGACCAATCAACATGCAAGTTTAAACTTGCATTTTTTAATATAAAATCTAGGATAAATGCATTAATCCAGATTAAAAATTGATAATATAACTGTTGAATTAATAAGAAAAATGTATATTAGTAAAGAAAAGGGAACGTTAATCATTTTAACAAAAGTAAATATAATAGACGTAAGCATTTCAACAAATCTATGGTAACGGCGATACAGCCCTGCCAGCTGTCAGCCATCGATTGTAAGAACTTTTGCTGCCTTACAAAGCAGCGTTACGTACAAAAACAGTATTTTTCGTTTCCCGCAGGAAGTCAAAATAATTTACTCACACTTCATACATATTTGACCAAGAATGGACAGTAATATACGGTACAATATGGTATGTTTCGAAAACGATGCAGAGCATGATAAATATGTTTTATGCGCGATGTTTTAAAAGCAATACTGAACAGTTCATTATCTGTCTTCAACTGCCAAAATGTCTTTCATTAAGTGAATACATTTGATATATTTTAAACAATATTGTTATGTACTGTACTATGAACTGTGCATGACTATCGACACATACAAGTCGATAAAAACATTGTCATTAGTAATAGTCATTTGTTTCTTACAGGAAATTTAATATTCAAACTTGATTAATATATAAGCAGTCTTTACTTTTTTATATTTTTTTAATTTTCTTAATAATAAAGACTAATTAAGCAAAGTATATTTTAATTGTAACAAAAGTATAAGATATCTTCATATAATTCAAATTTCTAGTCAATGATAAATATTAGAGATGAGTAATAATGATTCAATTTTAGCCTTCACAAATGAACAGTGATTCAAATGGAGAACCATCATCTCAGAATGAAATATCGGCATTAACTGTAGCAGTACCAGTTGCAAGAACTGATGGGATTAATCATTCAGGAAGCATTGCTGCAGCTCAGACTTCACTTGAAAGTCGAATGGTATGATAAAAATTGTTGTACATTTTGAAGTTTTTAACATTAACAGAAGTGTAATTATAGGCTGATGGAGAAGAAATACCACCTCCAAAGGCAGACTTTTCAGCTCCTCCACCTTATGAAGTAGCTACAAAATTACCTAGTTATGAAGAAGTTCAACGTGAAAAAACATTACAAGGAGAACCCTATCCTCAAATACACATGGTGATTTGACATACTTGTATCTATAGGATATCATAGGATAATGTTTAATAACAATGCAATTATCATAGAAAATTAATATTACATAATAAAATAATGTTTTTGTAGCCTGGCAATATCAGAACACCACAACAACCTTTGACCATTCTGGCTATTGATACTGAAGCTGCAGAAGGAGATCCAGAAAGTGGTTTACTTGGTACTGATTTCATGTTCTTTACTGCATTTTTGGGTAAGTTAACTTATGTATTTAATTGTTTTGCATAATGTCTTGTATAATAAAACATTTGTCTGTTACAGTTGCATTTCTATTTAATTGGATTGGATTTTTGTTGTTGATGTGCTTCTGTCACACAATTGCATCTCGATATGGGGCATTATCCGGTTTTGGCTTATCTTTGACAAAATGGACATTGATTGTTAAACATTCCACTGATCTTGCATCACGCGAAAATTCATGGCTGTGGTGGTTGATAATGGGATTTGGTTTGTATTTTATCGTCTGTTGTTTTGCATATTCAATATTGCTACTTATATTAAGATATGATGTGTTTGTATTTCAGGTGTTTTAATTTGTGCACGAGCAATTGTTCAATATTTGAACATTAAACGCGGATGGAGATTATTACCTGGAAGTGCTCAGGAACGTTTACTCTTTTTTTATTAAGCTATTAAATCTGCACCTTTATCTAACTTGGCTTTAGAACAAACAGCATTTCTATTTGGGGTTGTATTTGTATAATATATAATCTACACCCTCTGAAAATATTACTTTATATTGGCTACATATTACTCTATTATTAGAAGAGAAGTTATTAAAACTATCGAGACTATTTGCCAAATTTGCTTATTATCGCGAAAAACGTGGCAGATTAAAAAACAGAATAAGATAACTTTTGCACATAACAGTTTTATGTGTTATTATCACATAGATGAAATAAAATTTTTATTGCTCAAATAATATGAACAATACTTTAATGTGAAATATCATTTATGCATTTGTTCATCTAAACATGAATTGCTTGATATGTGACATATGTAAGTTTATTACTTATAAAATTGGTGTTGCGAATACAAAAATTTATTAAAAATTAATCATGTAATCACTGTCCTAAAACAGATAATGAACTATGAAAGTTCTTATAGTGATATTGTGTAATACATTCTAGTGTTAGATAAGCTTTTAGAATTTTGATTATATACGATCTGTGTACTGATCATCTGAATTGCTTATTTGTATATTACTATGATTTATAGAGGAAATTCTTACTGAATTTAAAAATAGAAATTAATCATATAAAATATATGTATGTATGTGTGTGCATATATGTATATATATACACATACATAAATGTATAGAAACATTATTACAAAACTGTACGCATTATATGTTACACTGTCAAAAAACATCATTGTTATATACTTATTACAACAATATAAAAAGTTAATCTATGTCTCATATTTTTTATCCGTAACGAAGTAAATACATTGATTTTAACGTTATTTGTTCATTTGTTACTTTTATCATGTTCATAAAAATTACTTAGAAAGTTAAAGATATATAAATTAAAAGTTTTAAAAAATAAATTTAATAATTTTTATCTATATATAAAATATCATTAAACATGCAGTTTAGCAGGTCCCATGGTGTAATGGTTAGCACTCTGGACTCTGAATCCAGCGATCCGAGTTCAAATCTCGGTGGGACCTTTGTGTGTTTTTTTTTTATTGTTACAGGTCAAAATTAAACACCTTTTGCTAACAGATTACGTAATGTTTTCAGCTCATTTTGTAATAAAAAATTTGTTAAATACGTTGTTTAGAATTGTGATAAATAAATATGTTGAAAATTTATAAATTGAAGTGATGTGGTCGTGAGATGGCAGCATTATTTATATATATAGTATAACAGAGTGGTTAAGACAAAATTTAAAAATAATTTTTTTATATATGGATATATATTAAATAAAATATGGAAGATTCGTCAAAGGATACGGCCGATAGTTTACAAAATAATCCTATTATTTTTCTGGATATAGCAATTGAATCAGAAAAAGGTAATACATAAGTGTTGCAAGCATAAAAGCATATGACTCAACTTTTAACAGTGTTGTGTATTACTGTTCCTTTAAATTTCCTTTCATTAGAATATTAAAAATAATTTATATGGTACTGTAATACAGTTGGAAGAATTGTGATAGAACTTTTTAAAGATGTTGTACCTCGAACATCAGAGAATTTTCGTGCATTATGTACTGGAGAAAAAGGCATTGGAATCAATGGTAAAAAGTTACATTACAAAGGATCAATATTCCATAAAGGTATAATGAAGAACATTAATATTCCATATGTAGAAAATTATATACTTAATAACTAAAGTACACTGTATGGTTTAGTGTTACCACAGTTTATGATCCAAGGTGGAGATATAATAAATTTTGATGGAACAAGTGGAGAAAGTATATACGGTGCTCAGTTTGAGGATGAAAATTTTAAACTTTGTCACTCTTCAGGAGGACTCCTTAGCATGGTTAATGAAGGTTATCCAAACAGCAACAGTTCTCAGTTTATTATTACCATTTCAGCTAGCACTCATTTAGATGGAACCAATGTAGTATTTGGAAAAGTTTTGAAAGGAATGGGTGTAATATTAGAGATTTCTCAAGTTGAAACAATGAAAGATGCACCAGTTCGGGTACATATACAATTTACATTTATTTTCATTGTAAATATTGTTTATTAATAGATATTTAAATAATTTGGTCATAGAAAGTACATATAATGGATTGTGGTGAATTAAAACAAGGTCAGGACTGGGGACTAAATGAGAGTGACGGAACAGAAGATATTTTTACTCCATGGCCTGAAGATTGGGATTATTGTGCAGATATTAAAGGACTTGATGTAAATATTCATTTATAGAAATATATTTTTCTGTAAGAGTCAGTTTTCTAATGGATATTTATGATCATTTATAGTACAAGTATATGATACAGGTTATTATGAAGATAAAAGATTCGGGAAATCATTATTTTTTACAAAAACATTATGTAGATGCAGGCAGGAAATATAAGAAAGCATTACGCTACTACAAGTGGATGATGAGGGCTGTAGATGTGCCAGATCCTTCTGATCAGCTAATAGTGAATGTTAAAGTGACACTACTGCTTAATCTTGCTGCTGTTAAATTGAAAGAAAAAAACCATCGTGATGTTCTAAAATTGTGTACAGAGGTAAAATTTCATTACACATTCTACAAAAGGAGATTGGACTGATATTTAATAGTATTTTATATTTAGGTCTTACAGATAAATAAGAACAACAGTAAAGCATTATTTCGTAGAAGTCAAGCATATATGGGTTTAAATGAATATGATTTAGGTTTAGCAGATTTAAAACAAGCATTGTTGGAATCTCCTAATAACAAGGATATTTTACAAGAGATGGACAAGGTAAAGAATGTAATGAAAAAATATTTAGCTATTGAAAGAGCTTCTTGTCAAAGAATGTTTAAGTAAAAACAAATAATTTTATAATAAAGTTTGTAAATATAATGAAATTTTATATACATATTTTTTTAATTGAAATTAATATAAATTAAAATCATTTTTACATAAAATAGCGATTATATTTAATAAATACTGTAAGTTATTTACATACTATAATGTATTGCATACTTTTGTAAATATCATTTGGTAAGATTTCTAAAACTGTTTAAAAATCATTTTTTACACGGAAAAAAAGAGCATGAAATTTAAACACATAAATAAATCATATTTTTGTTCATATTTATTTTAATAGCATTCATTTTATTTAAGCATATTTATATTTTCTTGATAATAATTTCCATGTAAGATGCATAAAAGTAAATAAAAACGTAGCATATAACATTGGAATTGTGTGCCGAAAATACTATTCTTAATTTTATTATTTTAAACATATGATCTTAAACATATACTTATTTTATTAAAAGCTAAAAGGAACATATGAAGCATACTTGTATCACATTAAATACTCATTCTATGTAATAAATTTTATCTGTTTCCAATTTTTTTTATATTTAACTACTTTTTATCATATTTCGAAATTGTGTTTCCTAGTATAAAATATTCATGTACTAAGATAAACAGTACATATAGAAGTCAATTACATAAAATTAAAATATTATTATAAACAACTATGTACCGTATCATTTATTTATTGAACACTTATATCAAGTTCTTAACAATTCTGAGCGTCAAAATATCTTATATAATATCGCGATAAAGATGTATCACACAAAATAAATATTACTTTAATGAGAGCTCACATATTCAGATTCTTTCATTGCATTAGTATTCTAAAAGCAACAATTTATAATGATGTAAATACTTTAAATAAAAAAACTTAAAAGGTATACACATATGCAGAAAAGTCACTAAATGCAATTTTTTGTCATAATTGTATTTATCTCTTAATAACATTGTATATTTATGTAACAAGTTTTAGTTAGTATCTACAGTAATTAATGTAGAAGCATAAGCAGTGACTAGATTAAAAATTCTCATAATTAACTATCTTTGGGTCAATGCCAGTTTTCACTGAAGTGTACGCTTTTTAATAAATATAAGAATAAATACATAAAATCAATAATTATCTTTATAATATTATTCAGTACACTTTAAACGAAAATTAAGAAGGAATGCATACACATACTGAAGGTTTTTGTCCTTTTATAAATCACTTCAATCTGAGAATTTACGAGTATTAAAACTCGTAGTGTCAAATGTACAGTTCATCTGTACAGTAATATTTTTCTTACGATCTTTTAAAGAAGGAGCAAAGCTTTTTACGATATACAATGTTACTAATACACATTTTATACATCGATCAAATTTTCCGAAACCAGATATGTGGACGGACAAATTTCTGAACTGCTTCAATAACCACAGTATATAGTAAAACAATGTAATGACATGATTTTTTAAAAAATGTTACCGGTACCTGTTTTTCCGTGATAAATAATGTGAGATGTTTTTGAGTTCTAATGGAAGTATCTAATTTTTCTATCGTGAATCATGTAAAACATGCGACTAAAAGCACTTAAATGTTATTTAAGGCTACCATCTGAATTTATGTACAGAAAATACTTTTAGTTACAAACGTGTTAATTTTACTCGTGAACAGAAACACTATTCACTGGAATTTATATTAATTTTTCATTGTTTCAGTTCTCCTAACTTTGCGCCTTCATTTTTTTTATTATCGTTTTTAGATGTTCTCTCAGATTAATGTTGTTCATTTTCAATTTCTTCTCCACGATTTTCTTTTTCAAGATTTGTGCAACTTTCTGTTGTAATTTCTGTTTCAATTAAATTGTGCAATTCCTTATATAATGTTTCTTCACAAACTTCACCATTTAGAGCAGCATTATCAATTATGTCATATTCATCTTTCGTATCATGTTCTGTAATCTCCTTGAAATCAGGTTCTATAATTTCTTCACAACTTTTGAACATATCAGGATGTTCATTTGAATTCAATAGTTCAGGATTTTCATTCGAATTTAAAATGTCAGTATTAACTTCATCATCTGTCGTATCTGTAGACTGAGAGACTTTTTTTAACACACTGTCAATCAAATTAGATGCAAAACTTTTATTTTCATTTCCTTCATGAATAGTCTGATGAATTGGTAAAGTCTGCGGTCTATGTGGCCGTGCGTACGGAAATGTGTTTTCTTCGCCTGCTGGGGTATGAACAGCAGATATCTCAGTTTGAGTCGCGACACCGTTATCGACTAGATTTGGTTTAGATTGCATACTTGACATGCATCGTTTTATTTCTGACATAGAATCTTGTAATTGTTGCACCTAAACGCGTATCAGTTTCTTAAGGACTACTCAGTATATTAAGATTGTTAGGTTAGAGAAACATAAATGATATTTTACCTGAGTATGCAACAAATTACATGTTTGCGCTAAATTAGTTACAACATCTACGTTTTGTGCAATGTTTTCATTATCATTGCCTGCAGAATCTCGATTAGCAGCAGGCTGAAGACTAACAACTTTTTTCCATAATGCGTTAATTGCTTGCATTTGCAATAATTGTAGTTTATGTTCACTTTCTAAAGCAGTTCTAGTAGCTTCCATGTCAGTAGACAATTTCCTAGAAGAATAAATGTTGAAGCATACTACAAACAAAAAATACACTATTCTTATTTTATAACAATATAGAAACATACTGAATATATTTATTTGTTCTTATCATTTCAATAGTTTTCAGTATATTGGTTGCTTTTTTATTGAGATTTCTAGTATGATATCCTCTCCACATTCTTTGAATGCATATTGCTGCTTTCTCTGCTTCATCTTGATCTATTTTGGAAATAAAAAATTGTTATTTTTGAGAAAATAACTTCATCTATTTAAAGAAATTCTTACCTTTGTTACTATCTTCTTGTCTTCTTTGAATCGCTCTATGTCGAATACCGTCTAATTTTGCTTGACACATTTCACTATCTTCATCACTGCTCTGAGTAGCATTATCTGCATCTACATCTCCACTTTTTTTTACCATACTACTCTTTATTCTGTCATTTGCACTTTTTGGCCTTTGTATAGTTCTGCCTAAATTCGGTGAATTCTTTGTAGGTCGTTTTGCAGGCAATGTTTTACTTTGAACATAATTATTAATTTTCACGCTATGGGGACACTTAATACTACTACTTGTGATAATGGGTTTAGCAATATTTGGTTTTCCGATACTGCAGTTTGTTGCAGAATTACTTTTTACAAGTGCATTTGCTTTCACAGCGCTAAGATTCGTTTTTGCCATTGGATTTACTGTATTTATTATAGGAATAACTTTGCCATCTCCATCAGAAGTGGATTTACTAGGCACTGTAACTTGGCAAGGTGATGTTAATTTACTTGGTGGAGTTTTTGCTAGAACACGTGAAAGACCAGAAGGTGGGCGAAAATCTGGACTCATTAGAGATTCTGGAACTGGTACTAATTTCGTTGCGGCTTGAAGGGGGCTAGATGTTTCTGTAAAACGAATTTTTATGGATCCCTTAGAAACGAAATTTAATTATATTTGTGGCTCACCTTCTACATCTTGTGGAACAGAAGCGTTTAATGCTTTATTGTTTAAAGTACCGCTAAGCATATTTGGATCTAAACTCTGAGTCATTAATGACTCATGATCTTCATTTAACAAAGTGTGACATGAAGAAACCATAGCATCAGTGTGACAACTAGATACCATTCTATCTGGAGACCTTATTCTTAATGAATTTCTTGTTGTACCTAATTAAATATCAAAGATTTTATATATTTGTAGTTGATTTCATGTATCATCATGTACTGGATTATACTTATATTTGTTAGGATTAGCCTCACTAGCACAAGCATGCAAATGATATGTGATCAAAGGCTAGAAAACAATACAAGAATTGTGAACTATGTGAAATATATTTCCAAATCGTCAAATGCTAATTTGCTAACCAAATCTTCTAATCAGCATCATTATCATAACACTGCTTGTTTTCATTCTCCAAAGTCATTTGCGCTATAAGCTTAAAAACGCAATTACTTAAAAAACATACTACATACTAGGCACAAGAGGATATAAACATGTGTATTAATCCAAGAAAATTTCTTCGTAATATATCTCCTATGTTACTAAAATAATTTTTATTTTTGAATTCTTCTAAACTATAAATGAAATCGATCTTAGATTTTTACACACGTTTATTACGCAGTTATAGGCCATGTATGATAAATTCTCATTCTGACTTTGGATACCTTTACAAGGTGTATGGCACACACAGTACTTTGCTTCATAAAATTTTGGTGATTGTAAGCATTTATCTTCATAGTATGTCAACATTGGCGCAACTAGAGAAAACACATTACGTCTAAGAAATATAAGATGCATGACGACTGGAAAGTGTACATCACTACTAGTCCACTTGTACAATTATATGAGGAAAATTCGATGTCGTTTATCATACTTGCAGTAATGACCAAAGGTGAAGGATTAATCGAAACTCACTGGTACGTCTAGGAGAACTTGTCCTGTTATGACTAAGTCTACGCCTAGCGGCCGGAGAAGGACTCATTCCGACGCTACTTAAGCTGTGCACACTTCCAGTATCACTTTGTTGATTTAATTGTTGTTGATGATGTTGTGCTTTACTTAAAATCAGCCTAAGCTTCCTGTCAGTTTCATTTTCTAGGGATTCACCAGAAAGAGGGCAGACAGATGCTAAATATTGTGCAAGTAGTGCATGTTCACCGACCCGAAATTGTCTACCGCGTCCCTGAGAATACAACCACTCTGCCTTCAAGCTGAGTGGCCATTATTTTAAATAAATTTTGATTTTTTAAACCAATACAGTTCTATATTACATATATAAATGAAATACCTATAATATTGTCAAAGAAGACCCACCTTTCAATAGGATCAACAGGATAGCCATCAATTGATTTCAAGCTCATACACCAATTGATAACAAAAGGACGATAGTCAAAACCACTATAAGCTATTTGTTAAGAAGCTATAGCTGTAATTCTGCAGTTAGTACTAATATCTTTTTTTTTTATAACTAGCTTTCTAAAAGCACATTTTATTGATAAAAATTAACTCTAAGAATGTGATGACATTAAAAGTAACAATGATTCATCACATATTTTTTGCTATATTGTAAAAGATAGATTTTTAAAATATATTACTAATCTGCCTCTAACATCTAACTGAAGAGATGAACATAAATTATACAATTATGAAAAGGATACATACTGTTAACTGTCATACTAACACACGGATTATTAGCAATTGAAAAATTTACTAAATTTTTTAAATTAGCTAAATGTGACATTTCATTTAAATCAGTAATGTTATTATTAGCTAATGTAAATGTTTCTAGAGATGTGGGTAAATAGCGTTCACATTGTCTCAATGTTATTATGCGATTGTTATGTAAAAAAAGTTCCTAAAACAATAGTTAATATGATTATGATTTAAAACAAAATTATGGTTGCTTGTTAATATACAGATTTGAAATTAAATTATAGATATTACCTTCAAGTTCTGTAGATATGAAATGTCCGAAACATGGCTAATACTATTTTCAGACAAATCCAAATGCTCCAATTTAGTATTTGTGTGTAAATGTTCAATAGACTACAAAACACAAGATTACAAAAAATTAATAGTTCAATTATATCAACATAAAAAACTACATTAACTATACCTTTATATTGTTACCAGCTAGGCACAATGTTTGCAAATTTATCATATTCTTTATACCTTCTATAGTCAATATACCGTTATTTGCTAAATTAAGAGTTACAAGATTATGTAACTTTGATACTCCATACATACGCAACAACTGGTTCCTTACTATTGAGAGCTGAAATAATATATTTATATGTTTTTAAGTAAACATTAATTTGCTGTATTGAAACATGTTAGAATGTTAAAAGAAAACAATGTAAAATAGCAAATATAATATTAATAGAGTATCATAATGTATGCAAGAAAAGATTATAAGCTCTATTATATGAATACAAAATCATTACCTTAGTAATCCTGTGGTAAGAATCAAGATTATCGAGGCGTTGAAGTTCATTATCGTCTATGATCAATGTATTGATACTTGCATCTGACGGACAACGGGAAAGTTTCTTTAGACCTTGACCACTTAAATCGAGTGTGTCGCACACTAAAGATTCTAAATGAATAAAAAATTCCATTGTCATTAATGTTTAATGAAATTCGCGGATGTTTGCGTATAAAATGTGATAGAAAATGTCAAAACTGGCAAGTAAGAGGATCGCAATAAAATTGCTGTTGTTTTTACGTGTATACTAATTACATTACTGTAACAATAAGAAATTAAATTGTATCGGAAACATCTGGAACATTTGTATCAACATATTTTGCTTAGAAATGACATAATATAAATATAAAATTTTCACTAACCCGTTGAAGCCATGATGAACACAACAAACTGGTAGACGCTACGAAGATGTCGTCGTGATCAGGATACATATGTATATTTATATAGGATTTATCACAAAATAGGTACTAGATATTTGTAAAATATGTTATTTTATTCAAAATATTAGCTTAGTTTTACAATTCGTATGTGAAAGCAATAAAACAAGATACTCTTTCTAATAGTATATACATAATATTCATACAATAAAAGTACATAACATTAATGTTTTTCAAGTCTGTTAAAATATTCTGTAACTAAATACAATTTTTAAACATTAACATTAAATACTAAAATACTTGTGTGCATTATACAAATTTTTTCATTACGGTAGCAAGTATTTTCACATGCAATTTTAAAATTGCGCGTTCAGAAACTTATACCGCAGTTCACCAGAGTCCATAACTGCAAGAAGACCAGTTTTCGTTCTTCGCGCTTCTCCAGTGCGCATCTTCGCCCTGATTGGCGATACTTCCAAACGAAGTGGAAAGCGATTAGCCGAGAGCTCGCTGCGTTCCCCCACCATCTTCCAATCTGCGCGTCGCAGTTATGGACTCTGGTGAACTGCGGTATAATATGGCGATGAAAAAGTTTGAAATGTTTGAGATATTAGGTCCTGAATTTTGCCAGATTTATTAATTTATACCAAATCTTTATTACTTTTCTGGCTTAAATTTATACATAGTAGGTAAGGTTTTATTCAATATTATTCATTAATAATAAATTTTTAAATGGTTTCATAATAGTAAAGTCACGTGTTGAGTCATGTTGTGAAATTGTAAAAGGGTTTATATTAAGGGTTTATAATAATGAAACGTCATTTAATTAATATTTCTAATAAACAAAAATATCCTCTTTTAAATCGTAATCTTAAAAACAATTACTACAAGCAATGCACATGGAAAATTATTCACTCTAAAAGATGTGGTTCTGGTCTAACCTTAAAGAATATGCATAAATCTAATGAAGATTCAGAAAATGATGTTAACGAAGAAAATGATTCTAAAATTTCAAATTCGGTTTTACATGTTTCATACAATAAAAGTCAGGTTCATATAGAACAAAAGGATTTGTCTCATGTACCTACAAATTTTGAACAAAGTTTCTACAACAATGTATACCCTCTACATAAGAGCAAGAATAATAATTACGACGAGATGAATATTTTTGTAAAAAATAAAGTGGTACAAGAAGAAAATAGTAATGAAAATTTGGAAACTGGTGCTAATACAAGAATTAATGAAAATCTGAAAACTGATGTTAATACAAGGATTAATGAAATTAACATACAAATGCTTTCAAAATCATTGCACAAGCAAATATTCAAGTCTTCCTATAAGCAAGAAAAATTATCAGAGGAAGAAGTACAAGCTATAAAACATAATTTAAGTTTGTATGGAATAAATGTTGAAGATGCAACTAGATTACCAGAGGTAGACATTAAATTACCTGATTTAGAAGGAGATGATATAGAGCAACACTTTTATAATATTGCAGAGGCACAAATTAAACCTTACGTAAACATTATAGAGAAGATAATGAAAAATATTCCTAAAATGCCAACTGAGTGGGTGTTACATGAAGGATGGACCAGATATACTCCTAATGGAGTAGAATTTGTAGATTATCCATTAGAAGATGGTATTATTTTTGATGTGGAAGTTTGTATGAAAGAAGGACATTTACCAACACTTGCAACTGCAGTAACTAGTGAAGCATGGTATGGTTGGGTGTCAAAGTCATTAACAGATGGTACAAGTAGAAATTTTGAAGGTAAACAGTTTACCATGGATGAGCTTATTCCAATCGAAAGTACAGCTGAAGAACATGGGAAAAAATTGAGTACTTACCATAGAAAACCAAAAATTGTAGTAGGTCACAATGTATCATTTGATAGATGTAAGATTAAGGAACAGTATTGGTTGAAAAGTACAGGATTAAGGTTTATAGATACAATGTCTCTTCATATATCTGTAGGTGGAATCAATAGTTATCAAAGATCAATTTTGAATTCTAAAAAAGATACAGAAGAAAAATATAATTTGCTTATGCAAACTTCATTAAACAGTTTGGCAGAAGTTCACAAATTTTATTGTGGTAGTGAACTAAACAAGGAATTTAGAGATATATTTGTAGATGGGACTTTGGCAGAAATCAAACAAGACTTTAATACTCTGATGACTTATTGTGCAAATGATGTAATTGCTACTCACAAAGTATTGGTTCACTTATTTCCACTTTTTACAAGCAGATTTCCTCATCCTGTTACATTAGCAGGAATGTTAGAGCTTAGTACGGCATATCTACCCATAAATTCAAATTGGCAAAGGTACATAAATGAATCAGAATCTGTTTTTGAAGATTTAAACTATGAGACCAAGTTTATTCTTTCTAAAAGGGCTAATGCTGTTTGCGAATTAATGCACAATGATAAATATAAGGAAGATTTGTGGATGTGGAGTGAAGATTGGAGCACGCAGGAACTTAAAGTAAAGGGACAGTATTCAAAACTAAAGAAAAGTTGTAAAGTACAAAGTACAGCAAATGAAGAGATGAATTCTCAAAAGCACTTAACAAAGGCTGAAGAAGAGGAAGAAGAAGATCCTTTGGAGAAAGAATTTGCATATCTAAAAGAAACAAGAAAATTTTTTCCTGCAAAATTACCACATATGCCAGGGTATCCAGCATGGTACAGAGCACTTTGTTCTAAAAAAAGTGACGTAAATTGGTTGCCAGGTCCCCAGAATATAAGTACATCTAAGAAAATTGTCCCAAAACTTCTGAATCTGACATGGGAGCATTATCCTTTACATTATATCAAAGATAAAGGTTGGGGTATTTTAGTACCATATAGTAATGATTTAAATATCGAAACTGAAGTGCCTTTAAAACAACTGTTAAAACAGTGCTCTCTACCACAGATAGAAAATGATTCTGATGGAAACGAATATACGATGTCAAATCTCAATGAAGATGTTACAAATGAATTGCACAAAACTGAGTTCTGGCGCAACAAGAAAAAGAAGCCTCAAGTCGAATTGCAAAACATTTATAAAGGTAGTGCACTTTGGTGCAACGTGGATATAGATAATTGTTGTTACTTTCTGAAATTGCCACATAAAAACGGCGCAAATTATAACGTTGGTAATCCTCTTGCTAAAGATTTTCTGACCAAATTTTCTGAACATGTACTTGCTGGTTTGGACGCGAGTGCTGCAGATATATTAAAAAATTCTAGAATGGTATCTTACTGGAGGAACAACAGGGACAGAATTATGTCACAGTTTGCGGTATGGTTTGAAAATCATTATTTACCAGACAGTGTTAAAATTACAAAGAAATCAATGAATTACGGCGCAATTATACCGTTGTTAGTTGTTTGTGGAACCCTGACCAGGCGAGCCGTAGATGCTACATGGATAACTGCTTCCAACGCCCACACCGAACGTGTCGGTTCTGAATTACGAGCCATAATACAGGCTCCACCGGGATACAATATCGTTGGCGCAGACGTGGACAGTCAAGAACTATGGATTTCATCGATAATAGGAGACGCTCACTATAAGAAGATCCATGGAGCTACGCCCTTCGGTTGGATGACCCTGATGGGTACCAAGTCCAACGAAACAGATATGCACAGCGTCACTGCTAAAGCCGTTGGAATATCCAGGAGTCAGGCTAAGATCATTAACTACGCTAGGATCTATGGTTCTGGTCAAAAGTTTGCGGAAACACTTTTGAAACAGTTCAATCCTTGCATGACGAATGCGGAGGCTGCATCTAAATCTCGAAAAATGTTTACCATGACTAAAGGGAAGAAGATCTATCGGCTGAAGCCGGAATTCTTAAACGAACTACTCGACAAAGAGTATACGTTTTTTCAGGCGTATCAAACATCCCAAATGTACGGTAAAACTGTACTGGATATGTTTGAGAAACCTAAATGGGTAGGTGGTTCGGAGTCGGCCATGTTCAACAGGCTGGAGGAAATAGCAGGGAGCCCTTCTCCTGTTACCCCGTTCTTGGATTCTCGATTGACCCGTGCATTGGAGGGTCACACGAACAACGAGAAATATTTACCGACCAAAGTAAATTGGGTCGTTCAGAGTGGAGCAGTTGATTTCTTGCATTTAATGTTGGTCTCGATGAAGTGGCTGATGAAGGATAACATAAGGTTTTGTATGTCGTTCCACGACGAGGTGCGATACATGGTACAGTCTCGTTATAAATACAACGCCGCTCTTGCCATGCATGTAACTAATCTCTTAACAAGGTCTTTCTGCGCTTCGCGACTCGGCATGAAAGATCTCCCCATGTCGGTAGCGTTTTTCACTTCCGTGGAAGTAGACACCGTGTTGCGTAAAGAATCTGAAAATGATTGTATTACACCGTCCAATCCGCATGGTTTGAAAAATGGCTATGAAATTCCCATTGGGGAAAGTTTGGACGTTTGGGAGGCTATAGAAAAGTCGGGAGGAAATTTAAGATCAGGATATAAAAAGACCATCTGCAAGATTGTGTCCAAGCAAAAGAATAAGCCAAAGGAGGCATCAGTATCGGGTAAAATTTAATGACTTTTGATCCTTTGTGACAAAATGTTGAGGAGGAACATGTCACTGACTATAATGATCTTTATAGCAAGGATATTTGTTACAATAATTAATAATATTTATCTAAAATAACACGCGTCATTTACTTTAATATATTCCCAAAGATATTAGAAACGAGACATTGAAAATAGTATTATTTCTTTTTTTCTAAGTTTTAATTTACAGATAAAAAAAATGTCAAAAGCAACAAAACGTAAATATGTCGTTAAAGAAATCCAAGACTTGAGTGTTCCTACCGAATCGCAATCTATTGTGCGAATAATTCAATCGCGGGGTAATAATTTACACGAAGTCGAAGATGCTGCTAGGAATCAATACCTGGTGTCAATGCCGACGAAGTTTAGAAGAAATATTTGGGTGAAACGAGGCGACTTCGTGCTGGTAGAACCAATATCGGAAGGAGATAAAGTGAAGGCGGAAATCGTTAAGATTCTGACACGAGTACGTTCTTTTATTAGTTGTATTACCGAGTGTCTGTAAGTTAATTAACGTAACGCTGTCTTATTTATTAGGAGCATAAAAGATGGTATCGCGAACAGAATTGTTGGCCCCGTGAATTCGATGAAAGAATCAACTCCAAAGAAGCTGCCGAAGAACAAAACGAAGACGATCTTTTTGTAAATACTAATAGATTGTCGCACAATTTGAATAGGATAGGTAATAAGGGTGATACTAGTTCCGACGAATCTGATTCTAGTTAATACATTTTTATATTTTATTATAAGAAATAAAAATGTTTGTTTGAATACAAACGGAGGGGAAAAAATAAATAGGAGAGTTCAATTTTATCGCCGATTCATTTTAATTTGGTTATTATGATTCATATTTTAATAACATTTAGAAAGAAAGCAAACATGTAACAACAATGATAATGTCTTTCTGTTAAGAAGTTTATAAAGTTACTTTTGTGATTAATCGTTGAAGTGCGATCCAAAACTTTTTGACGAGTTCCAAGTTTTGATTTATTGATTAGTATACACTTGTTAATAATGTTCAAAAGTGAAATATTTCATCGTAACAAAAGAGAAAAAGAGACAATTTCTTCATTTAACGGACTTGAACATTATCGCGGCATTTATCGTTGCATTGTCTCTGATTAATCTTATCGGTTAGTATGATTTCTGCAATTCGATATACATCCCATCCTTTGTTGACCAGTTGCTACTACTACTGTGAAAAGCTGGTAATAAATTTCTCCTGTTTTTTTTATTTATTTATTTTAAGATTACTGTCCAGAATTAGATACTTTATTTTCTTAGTCGTGTTTATCGAGATTTTCGCAACATATACGAAGAATAGTGATAAAAAATCATTTTTAACGTCCTTGGAATCTTTATAAATTACACTTGTTCATTATACATTAAATCGTAAATGAAATTCGTTTTATGGAACCATGTTAATATAGATAAGAAAAAAATTCAGCGGTAAATATGTTTCTGCGTCATTTCTTCTGTGAAATGTATTTACCTGCAATTAGGGGAGAAAGGAATTCTTTGTTGTTTTAAGGATGACTGCTTCTTAAAAAATCCAAATTATTTTATGCTTCTGTAGTTAACGAAGCATTGTAAATAGTATCAATAAACGAAATTCTTTTGTAACTCGTTTAAAAATGTAAACAATTATTTATTCAGCGATGATTAGTAGAATATTGTACCGATAGTTTGAGCGAGTATGTTTCAAGCAAACGTACGTTTCTGAATCGCGAGCATTATATTGAATTAGCGAACTAAATTTGAAACGCAGTCTGGCAAGAAAGCCAGTAGCATGATAATCGAATGCACCAGAAACCTTAATACAATTGAATGACACGTTAGAACGATTGTTCGTCTTATCGGTGAAATCGGGAGATGAGGTTGTCGCGAGGACAGGTGCGCGCTGGTATCATTAAGAACGTTCAGTCATACTCTGCGATAGTGTCCTATCAACAACAAGCCGCTGATCTATCGTCTTCGAGACTATTTTCAATTTGATTACTGCGGTCTTTTTAAAATAAGTTGTAAATAAAAACCACGAAACAAATTGTATAGAAACGTGTCCGTATTATCGCTAGAAGTTGTGATATTTTGTGCGAGTTTCTTCGATGGTATCAATCAGTTAACCGTTTGACGCATTTCTTTTGTTGTGCGTCGTGAAAGATAAGAGAAAAAAAAAAAAAATAAAGAAAGCATCTCGCATCCTTGAAAAGAAACGAGATGTCGAGATGATTCGTATTATCGGGAAAAAAAGAAATGTGGAACCGTGGCGGAAGTTTAATCAGAGACGCGAAACTACGCTCGAGCCTGTTAACGTATTCACGGACGCGTTGCGAATTCAATTTTCCTTGAAATGGCAAAATCGAGGAGCCATCCGCTAGGAGAATCCACGACCGTCTTCGGACGGAGTGAATCCTAATAAAAACGAGCAGTGTATGCGCGTTGTCTCGTTGACCCGGTCCGAAGCAATTTCCCGTGGAATTGGTGAAGTTACATCGGGATTCGTATTCGCTTCCCTGTGGCCCATTAACGGATCTACGCGGAATCGTCTGTTGGCTCGACGTGGGTCTATCGAGTTGTCGGCTTACAGAATGCTTTGTTTACCCGCGATAATTGCTTCCACCGAGTATACAAACTCTTAAAATAGATTATCGTCGGATTTGAAGTGTCCTTCCTGAACTGTATCACGTGCAAACACTTGTTTCGCGCGAATCCTTAAATGCACGACCATAGATTGCTATAATTACCCCTTCGAAGGAAGGATCTTTATTTTTCGTTCTCAACGAGGACAGTCATTATGAACGACACGTCAAGCGACGATACAAACGATTTGCATGATTTCTGGAAGGACTGGGATGTGAAGAATCTAACGGAGGCTGAGTACCTCACCAAAGTATTGGGGCCCAAGTATCTGCCCATGAGGATGGTGATACCCCTAACGATCACGTACGTTGTGATATTTGTAACTGGTATATTTGGAAATATTGCCACGTGCACTGTGATCGTTAGGAATGCCTCGATGCAGACTGCTACCAACTACTACTTGTTCAGTCTGGCCATATCCGATCTTACTCTACTTATACTCGGTGAGTCAAAGTCCTGTTTGCATTTTATAATACATATAAATGCTGAATAAACGCATTAATCAGCATAAAATGCGTAACGATTGATCCAGATTTCATCGGTTCAGCGTTCTCTTCTGATAACTAACAATAATTTATGAAAGAAAATAGAGATGATAAAGCTCGATGATCGTTTCAATAAAGATAAGCGGGTATTTTTGTACAAACGTCGATTTGCACCAGTCATTAATTAGTTAATTGAAACTGGTAATTGATTAAAGGGATGATATGGTATTGATAGCGTAAGGGAAAAATGATACGATTCAATTAAACCCTTTCATTGCTAAATATTTTTGAAAATCGAACGTGATCTAACGTAAATACCGAAGGAATATATTTCATTTCTACTTTCTTACATCGAGACTAGAAAGATAAAAGCTCTAAATTAATCTATGCCTTGTGTGTACATTAATGATCGTTATCTGTACAGTGGCTTCGTTTAGCGATCATAATTATTTTACTTTTTTTTTCAAGAATAAAAATCGCGCACGACCATTGAAATCTCTCTGAAATTAAGAGATTTCATACGATAAACACGATTTACGATTTGTATATATTTGAGCCTCGATTAAACGTCAAATCCATGAACAATCGTGTTTTTCTATTTACGTAAATTACTCGAGAGTGTATCTGGTTCGAACAGTCAAAATTCGAGATCAAGATAACGCGAGTCAATGATAAGAAGATCGTTTGTATATGTATGTACGATGGAATTTTAATGTTTCCTCAAGTATTTGGTGTACGTGAAAACCCAAGTTATTGAATCTGGCGTTGAAAACGTTGTTATATAAGGGCTTTTTTCGGCAAACGTGAATGTATCCAATAATTATACAGAAAGATCAGAATTTATAATTATACTTGGAATTTTTGTTTTATTTACATCGTGTGAATTTCTTTTCTACGTAGATTTTCGGAATTGACGTCAAACTGTTATTATTTGAAAATCATTTGTTGACAGAATAATTGAACACAGATAAAAAATATACAAGCAGATATCGCGTGTCGATTGTAATATATAAATTAATAAATGTATGAAGCTTATATCCCAACGTATAATTGAACCATTTCAGTTTGACAGTTATTATTATCAGTTATGACGATTATACGCGCATTAATATAGTTTTCTCTTTGTCGAGAGATTGAATTTTAGAAAATATCTTCAACGTGGGCTTCGTCATATTGCATCAAACGATTCAATTAACAAACGAGTGTTTATCTCGTTCCAACAGCGTAGCTGGCATTAATAGAAAATAAATTCCGGTTCGACGATTGCGTTTGTTATACTGGTAAATTTTCTCGTTAATTTAAACGATTGAAAGAGTTTCTGTGAAATCAATTTTACACAGGCAGCCATTGACGTAACCAGGATCTTCCTCTACATAGTTTTAAATAGAAAAGTTTCTACTCCTTTTTTCAATCGCACAATAAATATTCAAATTGTTCTGATACCTCGAGGTACAGTTTCTACTCATTGTAATGTCAACGTGACGTTCACGCGTTAATTATCTCGTAAGTTTAAGTCAGTCGTAAATCTACTTTCGGGAAAAATTAGTCTGCGTATCATGAGGATGCTTGTGTGCTTCTTCGTTGAATCTGACGTCAATTGCACAATCGTCACAGATATAACTGAACATAGATTTCACTTAACGTAATCATTCTTGTGCAAGAATGATCGTTATCAATTTTTCTTCGATTATTTTCAGGATTACCTAACGAACTGAGCCTCTTTTGGCAGCAATACCCATGGGCTTTGGGGGTGAGTCTTTGCAAAATCAGGGCATACGTGTCGGAAATGTAAGCAACGTATTTTCAGCTTTCAAGACAATATGTTTAGTTATTCTGGTCCATTCAACAAGAATTCTTTGATCCGAATTGTTGCCTCTGTTCCCTAGGTCATCTTACGTATCGGTTCTTACGATAGTGGCCTTCTCAATGGAAAGATATTTAGCCATTTGTCATCCGCTACGAGTCTACAGGATAAGTGGTCTCAAAAGACCGATACGTTTCATTTTGGCTGCATGGTCGATCGCATTGGTCTCAGCGATACCATTTGCGATCTACACGAAAGTGAATTTGGTCGAGTACCCACCAGGTTGTTAAACGTGGTTTTCTTACATTTATCCCTGTCAAACGAGGCTTATTAAGAAACATTAAAAAACTATGGAATATTGTTTAGGTTCTGGAAATTATTCAGCTGATTCGTCAATATGCGCGATGCTCCTGCCATACATGCCTGATTTTCCTCTCTACGAGTTGAGCACCATCATCTTCTTCTTGATACCGATGCTCGTTATTCTTGTGGTGTACACGAGGATGGGTCTGAAGATCAGGAATAGCACGAAAGCCACCCTGAGCTCGGTGGTGGAGGGCGGGATCCATGGAGATTCGAAACAGGCTCAGTCCAGGAAATCTGTCATCAGAATGTTGAGTAAGTGGTCGAATCTATATTATTTTATCGTTCACTGTAGTCCAATTGTCACGGAATCGTTGGAATTCCTTTTATTTACTCTACGAAACGTGTAGATCACAACAATTTGTGTTACAGGTGCCGTAGTCATTTTGTTCTTCGTATGTTGGGCTCCGTTTCACGCTCAACGACTGCTTTACGTTTACGCGCAGGAGTCCGATTACTATCCCGACCTAAACGAGTGGTTGTACATTCTCAGTGGATGTCTCTACTACTTCAGTACGACCGTGAACCCCATTTTATATAATTTAATGAGCATGAGGTACCGGCACGCGTTCATACAAACGATTTGCTGCAAAACGAAGAGCACAAAGAGAAAAAGCTGGACCACCAGACAGTCTCAGAAAAGTCATAGCAATTCAAATGGAAAAATACGCAATTCGAGCTTCAGGTGTTCCGTAAGGTATTATTATTACTGAAATGACACAAATGACGACAATGGTTTTCCAAGTGTCCATGACATTTGCATCATTTCTTTTTTCTAGGTACACTATCAGCCAAGCGAAAGAAATGTTTCGATTCACTGCCAGTCGAGATAACGTAGACAAAGATGGGAATATGAACGATAACGTCTCTCGTAAATCTTACGTATTAAAGAAGGAAGACCCGACGTCTAAACCACTTCTCGATCGAATACATCCCACTGTACAGGAACAGAAAAGCAATACAAGTTCCACGTGTAACACGAAAACTGGCAACTCCATGTCTACGGCTAGCAGTTCTTTATAATTCACACAAAAGTTTAGCGTTTAGAGATTACTGTAAATAATTGTGAGTTAATCCATTATTGCACCCATTATTTATTTCCTGACAGAACGTATTGTATAGTTGTATCGTTTAAGTTAATTTTTACTCGATTACGAAGGCTATTTAATTAAAAGTTTTAGCGATTTTTTTGTTTCATTGTTTTATATGCATATTTCATTTTCTTCTGCAAGTATTCGAGAAATTTTTGTTTCATTACATTTCATTTCTTTGTTACCTAAACATGGTTACATGTAAAGACTCCCTATGGAGACAAATAAAAAGGAACTTTTATCGCACGAAGTGCGAGCTGAATGGTTTTTGACATCCTTTTTATGATGGTAAAATGACTTTTAATGGTAAAATGACCATTTGCGAAATGCAAATGGTTTTGCATCCTTTGGAAAGATCTTATTGATTTTTTTGATTACTTTTAAAGAGATTTTCTCGAAACAGAATTCTATATATAAGTAATATGAACTTATTCATCTTGTTTCATTGCAGTTTTTCAATCTCCTTCTATTTTATGCTTCTTTCGTCAGAGTTTGCAAACAGGCATACTGTTTCAAAGGAGAGTCAATAAAATGAGTGCAATTAAAACGTAACTTTGCGATGTTCCGACGGGTCGTATTCAGAATTATTAAAAACTTTAGAAAAATCATGCTTCCAATCAAACTTTTCCAAGAATGTTGCATTGAAAAGTAAGTTTCTAATTGCTTTCTCTAAAGTTTCGAATACTGATTGACACTTGTAAGCTCGAACTTTGCCGCAATTTCTTCGATCATTATCATTACAAAGTTGAGATACTTTCATTATTCGAAGTTTGCTTGAAAGATAATTCGAGAAGCTTGCCACCTGCGAGGCAACGTGTGACGAAAGACTCGATGAATTATTTATTATTATCTCGATCCTCCTCAGTCGAGAAAAACTAACGAGTTAATGATTTATCGCAAGAAATTCTATAGTCACGGAAATGGAATTAATTACAGTGGTGGATTAACTTTTGACTGCTTCGTTAGGTAATTCATTTATCTTGGACAGTCAAGCTCCACACTGCCACTAATGACGAAACTGTGTTACAGCAAAGTGAGCGGAACTGGCTCATTGATATTCCATTCTTCTCACAATCAGTTGAATGGCAAGTCATATCAAAGAATTTTTACCTTTAGTTCCGATACAAACAGATGAACGAGATCGTAAACGAACCACTTCTCGGTTCGAGTTGTCAAAATGAAAAGTGTAACCTAAGTCATTCTACCATCATAAAAAGGATGTCAAAAACAATATCTCGAGAACGTAAAAATGATGGTGGTGGTTCTTTTAAATTATGCCTCGGAATTGATCGCTTTTATAGTGATTGAGTATTTCACTTCTACATATCAATGTCTTCTTCGACCGATATTCGCGCAATTAAATGGAGAGAAATCATTGCAATGGGTAATATCTATATTTTGATATAAGGATAATACTATTACTCTGATTCAGCCTCTAGCGTACGCCTTTCTATTGATTTTTCATCTTTCCTTTTTCAGACGCAACGTTTTCATATCATTTAAAAGTTTCTCCCGTAGACTGAATAAGGACAAAAACGAGGAAACGCAATGCTCTATAATGTCGATACACTGTGAGAAGACGCCAAAGGTAAAACTCGAGGTGTATGTAGAGAAAAAAAGATAAGAAACAGAGAAATTCACTTTGCATTCTATGTTTCCGTTTTTGTCCACGTTCATTTGAGTTAATACGAACTTGAGAATTTTCATTTTTGAAATACTATTGATAATTGATGAGTAGAGCCTTTCATAAACGAATGTTCGAACATGTTTACAGTTCTTCTGTTACATATTCATTCTTGGTACGGTGATTTTGATCCTGGACTCTCATGTACCGGCAGTGCACAACCGTGTAAGACCCGAGGTGGATCATCTGCTGCTTTGCCGTTTTTACCAGCTACATTTGCCGCAACAAGCGATCCAGATCTCTCGGCATCATCGTCCAGAAAATACGGAACGTATGTTACAGCAAGCCTTGACCCGTGAACCGAGAAAATATGTGCTACATTTCTTGCTCGCTGATGGGTCCAATGAAATTTCGAAAATCTTTCCCGAATAACCACGAAGACGGAGGACTGCAGCCATCGTTGCAGAGATTCTTTTATAACGAGGATATTATGCAAATGAATGCAAATCAGAGTTAGAGGGAGGGAAGCAGATTTGCGAATGATTACTTCGCAAAATAGGAATTCCGCAGATGGGAATCGAAAGTTTTCAATTGAACTGGTAAATATGTTTGCTCGATTTGTTGAAATTGAAATTCTTGTTTCTCGAAGAGAAACCATGAACCTTAAGAAATATTTCTATCAACAGTTTGATGGTAAAATTTAGAAAATGTCTAAAATGATACTTAAATTTCATCGTGGAGAAGGAGTTTCGTCTACTTTGAATTACAGAGGACATAAGTTTATAAGAAATTGAATAAGAAGTAAATGGAAGTTCCGATTAAAATCGAACTTAATTACGTGTTTTAGCGTGATTTAGGAGGGCTTTTACTCGACGAGGAGAAATAAGGCTTTAATAGCGATGATTCTGGAGCTCATAACGGCGTCATACTTGAATTTTTCTTCTAATAAGATCAAGTAACGTCAGATTTTTACCGCAAAATCATTTAAAAATGATTTTATGCAACGGTCTACTCGTTGAATCTTCAGGATACGTATGGGAGAAATAAAATGTAAATCCCAGAGGAATCCAATTCTTAGCACCCAAGTAAGAATTAAGGTACGTCATGATTTACCGTCCCCTTGGAAAGTTCAATTTGCCATGATATTAAAACCTCGTTTAATTTAAGTTGGCCCCAGATGCAAATACATTTAGAACACTATCTCGAGTGGTACATCTCCAGCGAAACTAATGTGGCTGTTTCACGCTATCTTTTTAATGCAATCACCCACGTATCTGATACATTTTGTAATTAAATTTATATTATTAATAAATACTCCGAGAAACACGATTTTATTGGTTCAGTTAGGAAGAGTTTGGAGGGGTTAAAGTCGAGGGTTGGATGCGTAGTGGATGGGCGCGTGGTGCGAAGGTGGAATAGCAGACCCACTCGAGAGACATCACTTGTCTACGGTCTGCGAACCAGTGCACTTTTAATACAACCCATTCATACCATCCCTGGAGTCGTTGCGATAACGTGACACTTCTGTCAATAATTTGACTTCTTCGAAACGTCATCAATTACACGAGAACATTAACGAATATATCATGAAGAAAAGAAAGTTCCACGAGGTGGAATGTTTCGTGTGACATGTTAATAAGAATTGATAGTGGTGGGTCTATAGAGCCCAAAGTGGAATCGTGAAATACATATAAGTATCAAGTGTAAAAACCTGACTATAATTTTTTAAGTATTATTAGACAATTAAATTAGGAAATAAAAAATGCTTGCTTTATTTTCAAAGTGAGAACGAACACTTGTGTGCCACAAGGAAATACTATTCATAAACAATGAATGTATCAGATGAATTGGAATACATATCGTTAATACGTGGTCCTAAGTACTTGTCTTGGAAACTGACTGTGCCTGTTACTCTGGCATACGTGATTATCTTTGTAACTGGTGTGATTGGCAATGTGGCCACATGTATCGTCATTATCAAGAACCCCAGCATGCAAACCGCAACCAATTGTTATCTGTTCAATTTGGCGGTATCGGATCTCTTACTCTTGGTCTTGGGTAAGTTGACACGTGATTTGGTTTTAATCATTACATGCTACTTTCTATGCAAAATTTTCATTTAAAGCTTCGAATGTTTTAATTTTCAAAAAATCAGCTTCTCCTTTCGATGCAACAAATAGCGATTGATAAGTTCATTCGGTAGATTTTATGCAGTGTTATCACTTGTACAGTAATATTTGCAGGATTATCACGTATCAAACGTTAATTGTCGGCTAATAGCTTATCCGGTCTTCGTCAGGATTAACGAAAGGGTTTCACGTAACTCGTTACGATCTTATTTGTATCCACACTGAGAACGTGATCTCGTTGAATGGATTTGTTTGCATCGCAAGTGGCCTCACAGTTAATTTATATCCACTGATTCCGCCCCTTTGTCTCAGACTCATTTCACTGTTTCCCTTTTTTTCATCATTTACTCTCGGGCTAACAAAGAGCGCTTTTAATTTTTCTCTCGTTCAAAGTGGATCGAGTCGAGCATGCTTAAACGAAGTTTAGTAGAAGAAGTCCATGGGAAAAGAAATATTTATAGTTAAAGGAAATGCTGAAATTATTGAACGCTATTTACATTCTCTTTTGGTTCTGCGTTTGTATTATTCAATCAACTGCTACGAACACACTCATCTGTTCTCCTCCGAATAACAGATGTCTTGATTATTTATAAACATCGATCGATTGTTGGAGGAAATTGTACGAATAAATTCAAAAGAAACGTCGTTTATCCCGTCGTTGTTGTTTTATCAGGATTTTATTTACATAGCAAATTGTTGTACATCAAAGGGAAAGTCTGGTACAATTTCATGACATAAAAGTGTCTCAAAATAGCACTTGTGATACATCAATTTAAAGCTTAAAGTTTGTAGAAAATAACTACATAAAGCCCTCATCAATATTCTTAATACAAAATGGCAGATTCTTTGTTGGAGCAAACAGTGGATCAAATACACTACAGCTGGTAATGTCTAATGTTCGAAAGAAAGAACCAGTCATTTTATCCGAAGAATACTGATGGGAGCTTTATGTAGTCATTTTTATCAAATTTTACACTTGAAATTGATGTATCATAAGCGCTATTTCATAATACTTTTATATCATCAAATCACGGTAGATTTCATACGTTTCCTCTTTGGTATACAACCATTGTAAGGTGAATCGCGTACTATCCAATAGAGGATTCTTACAATATGTATAAGGAATGATAAAATTCAGAATAAAATGGTTTCACTTTGAAATGTAAGACACGTAAAAGGCAAACGCAAAAGCGTGAAACCGAATGGTAAACGATTCAGGACTGATTTTTGTGCTTTCTATTATCCAGTGAATTTATTTTCGTTTCTATTCTGTTGTCCGCTTTCTGTTCACAAATTCCAGGCATTTTCTGTTCGATATACATATATATCACACAGCGTGCTCATTGTTACGTTTTCCATACTTAATACCGCGTACAATATATTTCATGTGATCGCGAGGCGCGAAGCAAATTTCCCATTATTTATGTCGTATCGCCGTATATCACTTTTCCATTACACTACCCTTATCTACGACGATCTCGATTTTCTATATATATACTATACATACACGGTAGTAATATCATAGCTATTACTACTGAAATTCTGTTCGCCATATGCTTGTTTATTTTTCTTTGGAAGAAAGGAATGTTCGATGCTTCGATCCGTCTTTCCTTTCCCAATAAAAAACTGCCATTTATTATACTATTATTGATACGTTTGTTTTCCTCCAGCACAAAGATGTATGACGCTATAAAAATGTTGATAAAAAATTGATTGATTATGTGAGTGATTCTTAAGTTTCGTGAACCGCGAATGAAGAAAGTACCGTGTTCCCTATTGCGGTTACGACAGATTGTGATACTTTCAATTTCTTCTTCTAGGTTTACCCAACGAATTGAGTGGGATTTGGGAACAATACCCTTGGAAATGGGGGTTGGTTATGTGCAAATTACGAGCATACATCTCGGAAACGTGAGTCGATGGAATATTTGTAAGAAGTTCGTCGAAAGGGAGTTTCATATTTTAAAAGGGTCGCATCGTTTCTTACTTGTTAAAGGTCCTCTTATGTATCGGTATTAACTATAGTGGCCTTCTCGATAGAAAGATACTTGGCAATCCATCATCCACTTCGTCAATACGGCGGTGGATTGAAACGATCCATACGATGTATCTTGTGTGCATGGTTGGTGGCTTTCGTTTTTGCTCTGCCATTCGTTTTTTACATGAACATCGATTACGTTGAATTTCCACCAAGTGAGTTTTCTACTTAAGCCTAAGTTTTCGTCATTTTATATCGATTTTAAATAATTGTGTATCCACACGAGTTGTATGAATCGTAATAAAAAATTCTACAATTGAAAATACATATGCAACGAGGAAAATCGAAAACTACGAATGCGAACATGAAACACGTGTCAGAATGTTTTTCCAATATGTTCGAGCGTAATTTAAAATGCTTCTCTTCTCGTGTCGGCATTCCTATGCATTCATACAATTCCAGATTTATCTTCCTTTTCCAAAATATCGATCAAATATTTATGTAGTCATTTTGATTAAACTCAAAGTTTCAAATTGATATACTATAAATGCTATTTCATTATGATCGTTTCCTTTTTTTACAGAATCCAAACGATATTCGGAAGAGTCGGCTATCTGCGTGATGCAAGATGATATACCTAAATTTCCTTTGTACGAGCTCAGCTGTATACTCTTCTTCCTTGTACCGATGGCGTTTATCGGAGTTCTTTACATGTTAATATGCTTACGAATACAGAGCGACAGCCTCGCGCAAAACGTGGAGGGATCGGTTCACGGGGAAACTAGGCAAGCTCAGTCACGGAAAACCATCACTCGAATGCTCAGTAAATGTTCAAATTTTAAGTAAACATCAGTTTCTTTTCTTTTCCTTCTGTTCCCTTCAAATTTCAATTTTACACGCGCACGTACGAGCTGCTTGTTCCTACGAGAAAACATCGAGAAATCTTTGATTCAGTAGATGGTCCCTCGTAGATGATGTATTCTTCGAGGGCGTTTACACATGCTCATCAACGCGAAAGGGTTAATTGAAGAAAATGTAGGAAATCTTGGATCCATAGGTGCAGTGGTGATAGCATTCTTCATCTGTTGGGCCCCATTTCACATTCAGCGAATAATGTGCGTGTACGGGAACGATACTTACGACGATGTAAGCCGATGGTTGTTTCCACTCACTGGCTGTCTCTACTACTTTAGCGCAACAGTCAACCCTATCCTGTACAACGTGATGAGCGCAAAATACCGAAATGCTTTTAAGGAGACGTGCTGTTGTTCATCGAGCAATCCTATCACTAGGATCGGTCCTAGTAGCGTAAAGCATTCTAGCATGGTTTGTGCTGCTGGATCCAGAATCGAATCTCAGGTGTTTTCTATGAAGTAAGCTTTACCGTTTCTATGTCGCTTGCAAGCATTTCCTTCACCCTTGAATTTCTATCTAGTTCTTTCCATAATAAATGAGATAGTCCTCACCCTTGCATGAATTTCCATGTAATTTCAAAATTATCATTAATATTCTGACGCTTTCTATTGAACGCAGAGACATTGAGTCGAATCGTTTGAAGAACAATTTGCATATAGCAGTTCAATTAAATTCAGACAATGGAGCCAAAGAGAAGGGGATCGTCGCAAATGATCCAGCACAAAATAATAAAGATATCGATGAAATCAATGGTGAAAATTGTTTAAAAGAATCGAAGAAATTATCCTTTGTTATTCATACAAAAAATGGACGACCGATGTGTCAGATGTCCAATAATGAAAGTCTTTCGAAAGAGACACACATTTGATCGATGTTAGAAATAATAAAGACCAGGGGTCTTCTTGTACGTAATGAATTTCGTCGAACTATGTGCTTTAAGCTGCTATAAGATATTGACCTCCCTTACGAATGAAACAAGCTTCTAATTCCTGACCTAGCTTGTCAAGGGATAGGATTTACGTATCTAAAAGTTCTTGCTTGGCTTGGGATTCAATAAAAAACCTGGATGTTATCGTGGAATCAATCAAACCATATCCATGAGGAGGTACTCACTTCTCTGTTCAAATGTGTTACGGAAATGTTCGATGGAACGAAGTCAAACGCAAGGTACGTAAGATACTTTGCAAGTCAATTGAACCGTGAAGCAATTTTATGGAAATTCGAGGACCTATATGTTGGAATTGGTTTTCTAGCTGGAACGGGAATCACAAGAACCTTGTTACGAAACTCTGGCTGATATTTATGGTCAAGAAACAACGAAATGATCATAGAATGATTTCAAACAATTTGTTCTATTTAAACAATCTCCGAGATTTTTGTTAATTTTTTCAAAGCCCGAAAATTTGCATTGTTCCTGTTATAAAAAAATATGTATATATACTAGTGGAATTAATTCTGGACACTTAAATTTTTATTTAAATTTCGCATTTATTCAAGTTATCTTATCTTATATATGCCATAATGTCGGTATGCAAAGAGTATCACCCGTGCTTCGGGGTCCCTAACACCCCAAGATGATATTTTGTCGGTGCGCAGAAAGCGCCACCGCTGTATCGGGGTCCCTGACACCCCGGATGCCATAATGTCGTTATGCAAACTCAGGTAAGTATCCTACTATATTTTCTTTTAAGTTTTCAAGTATACCCAGGTCACAGGTAAGTAGAAATGAGTATAGGTATATTCTGATATTTCCTTCTTTCAATGTTTTATACTCTTTCTAGATCTAATCTTTCACTGTTATAAGTCATATCTATCACCATCTTGCAATTACCATTTCGCGATTTGTTTGGTTTTTAGGTCTTATTTTTCGCTAGATCCGGTCGTATCTACCGTTATCCTGAATTCCCTGTTTCACGATTTGTTCGTATTTAGGTTTTATATTTTGTTATTCGTTCTTATATTTCACTTATCGGTATTACCTATCGTCGGTATTACCTACTGTCGGTATAATTGTCGCGTACTTTATCAGCATCAACAATTGCTGATGCAATCCACGTAATTTTTCCGCAATAGCCACAGTTTCATTAATTTATATATGTATAAAGAACACTAATTTAATAGGTGATACTTCCCTATATTATATAGTGACTCACTCCGTATCCGATGTAATAGTCTATAGAAAGTCTATGGGTCGCACATTTTAGCCTCGGGGTCCCTGATAGCCCGGATGCCATAATGTCGGTATGAAGAGTGCTTCGGGGCCCCTGACAATCCGGATGCCATAATGTCGGTATGAAGAGTGCTTCGGGGTCCCTGACACCCCAGATGCCATAATGTCGGTATACAAAGCGTGTCACCGGTGCTTCGGGGCCCCTGACATCCCGGATGCCATAATGTCGGTATGAAGAGTGCTTCGAGGTCCCTGACATCCCAGATGCCATAATGTCGGTATGCAAAGCGTGTCACCGGTGCTTCGGGGCCCCTCACAACCCGGATGCCATAATGTCGGTATGAAGAGTGCTTCGGGGTCCCTGACACCCCTGATGCCATAATGTCGGTATGAAGAGTGTTTAGGGGTCCCTGACACCCCAGATGCCATAATGTCGGTATGCAAAGAGTAATTAACGTTTAAAAATTCGAGTAGAAAGCTCCTGAAACCTGCAATCCGCCCAGCACCGACAACTGAATGTCAGGTCAGCAGGGGAAGGTACAATCATAACCAAGAATCGAAGCCGAATGTTGCAGTACCGAGAAACAGAATAGTACGAGGTAAGTTTCTACTATTCAACGATTCTTGATCATAACTGTACCTTCCCCTGCTGACCTGACGTTCAGTCGTCGGTGCTGGGCGGATTGCAGGTTTCAGGCGGTTTTTACTCGAATATTTAAACGTTAATTACTGGAAAACAAAGCCGCAAACGTTATTTCGTTATTCTTGATTTTCGTCTTATTTTGATCCCTAGAATCACCCCTTAAAATTTTTCCCACCTATTGTCGAACACCCTCTATATATAAGATTTATTTCTCTTTAAGGGCCTTGCGGAGACCACCCTTCCCAGTTATTGTTTATCCTATCCCTACTCTTTATGGACCAAGGTCTCCCTTTACAGTGATTTATTTCTTTTATTCTTTTCATGGACCTCGCAATGACTACTCCGAAATCACTGTATCCTCGTATCCTTTTTATCGCTGCATCCCTTACATCCCACATCTCTTGAAAATAAAGATATGTATAGTCTTGTTGGATCTGTAGTCATTGCAACTACCTTTACTCAAACTCATTATTCTATTACCTTCTGTTTATTACTATTAATCCAGTTTCTAATTATTTTTGTTAACTATCTGCTTACTTTTGTAATTTTGAAATAACGTATCAAATTTTTATATCATACTTACCTTCCATCTTTAAACCAATAACTCAAAGTTGAACACCAGTTACAATGACAGAGAAATGAAATTCCAGCCGTATGATTAACGTAAATGAGAACTCACGGGTTTTTTCGATAGTAAGAAGTGTATATTACTACAACATACTTGTGGGATATCGATTGCAACAATGATCGCATCCGAGAGAAAAAGGTGAGGGGGTTTGGATCGGTGGTTCGCTACTCTTCTACACGGCGGATACGTATACAATAAAGAAAAAACACACACATATTAGCTGTGACAATAATTTGTTCGCAATATCAGTACGTGTCGTGTAGTCGCATTCACCAGGATAGATTACAAGGATTCGTCTTTAGAAAATGAAAGAAAAACGGAAACTACGCTCCATCGAAAAGTGTAGTGAATCGTTATCGAATGCGAGGTGATCCAACTTCGAAGGATACCCCGTTTTCTCGTCTATAAAATTATCATAAAATATGTATACATATATAATATATATATATGGCAGTTAAACAATGTTTCGTTTCGTTGATCGTTTAAAAAATGAACAAAGGGACTGGAATGTTTCTTAATGTTTCTTCTTTACCCACTTTTTTTTTATGTTTTTGATTTTCGTTTGTTCCGCTTCGTTCGTCTTTTGTTTTAGTTAAAAAATTTGCATAAACGATTGGCAGACAGTCGTTGGCAATGTTCCGTTCGCTTAAAATGGAAGAAAGAAAAAATCGTGAAGTTCGCACCAGGCAAAGAACAATCGTCAAGTAACCTGAACGAGCATTCGGTTCGACACTTAACATTGAGTATTACGCAGGTAACTGGTTAACATTTATCTCAGTGTGTATACATCCATGCTAGCTTAGTATTTAATTGGTCAAGATACTGTTTACGCTGAAAGAACATACGTGTTACGTTTCTTCGGCTGTGATTTGCTTTTTCTTTCTCGCTGTTTGATTAAGGATTCGTGAACGACAATAACCGGAAGCTCGGTTGTTCCCCTATTTTTTTTTCATTGTAAATTTTCAAGGTTCTTTTGTACTATTTCGAATTGAGAAGTTGTAATGCGCTGATCGTAATGCAACCGCAGCGTTTCTTAAGTCAGGAATTTGGATCAATGTTGATTATGGATACTTGGCAATTCGCTGTCGTTGTTTTCTTCTTTGCAGTTCCATTACGATATCGCTATACTAGCAGAAGTAACGTATCTGAAATGTCAAGGTTCTGTAGAATGAAGGAAGAATTAGGCCAATTGAAGAAGCGAAATGCGAGTGGAAAGCTTCACGGATGTGTCTTGGCGAGAACAGGTGTATCCTCTTCTAGGGTAGCACGCTTGTCTCTGTCTGATCTCATTAATGCGATAATTAGTGTACACATGAAATACATGATCGATACGTATATAAACAGTTCTCTTATCGTAGGCCTGTGCGAATACTTGCATTGCATTCAACGCGGAAAGAAATGAACGCCGAAAGGAAAGGTTCATAGTATGATAATTGTAAAAAACACCGTATTGACGTGGCGATATTTTTTTTTTCATTATTTTTTCTATGCTTTCTTTTCTTTTCGATTTTGTTCTCTCTCGCAGTCTTACGGTTTCTTCGCACGTTTAATCTATATCTCGCTAACGCTATACAACCGATTCACCGATGCCATTTTCGTCCCGCTAATTCTCTAATGACTGAGTTTTTGGTCGACTGTACGATCAAGCGTTCGACTATTCTCTCCTCGTTTCCGAACTGTACAGAAAAGTCCGCGTTCGTGCGATTTCGGTTCGATTAAAGCTTTCGATCGTATCGCAAACGCACTACAGATCGCGATGACGTTTTATAATGTCGTTCGTCGAATCCACGTGTAGGCCCTCGATTATTCGCATCATCGAACACACATCTTCGATCAGACTCTCGATGGCTGCGTCTGCAGTCCGTTCATCGCGCGATTCCAGAAATTCCGTTTGCGATTTCATTCACGACCTTATCGCCGAATGCCAAACTGTCCAAAATGCAAAACTGAAGTCTTTTAATCCGGCGCCCACAGTCGCCGAGTTAAATGAATAAACGTCATTCAACCCCTTGTCTTATGATTTCATGAGAGATATGAAAAAAAATTGAAATATTATGCATATCTTGCATTCAACTTCAAATTCAACTGTCACTCTACAAGACAAGGGGTTAACAATAGAATATAAAGTGCAGTCACAGTCACAGCGTACATATATGCGAGTTCGCACGAACGTAAATTAAAATAAAATGGAGAAGAAATGATAAATATCGAAAAAGACGAGCCAAAATCGTTACCCTCGCTGAACCAACGCACCCCTTTCCCTCTCGAGCAAACGAACAGCCGTAAACGCAGCCACTCTCGTTCCTATGATAAACCCGAACGCATCGAGTACAGAGGAATAACAATGAGAATCGTCACAATAAAAACGATGCTCTTTCCAAAGAATCAAACGAACAATAGAAAGAGAAAAATCAAAAGAAACGTGTGCGTCGTCGATTACGATTGTGTTATGCTGACTAGAGTCTAAATTATCCTTCTATACACACCTATCTCGTTATCCTCCGAATTAATTATGTATAATATTTATATATGTATAAACGATGCCGACGATCGATTTGTCATTTTGAAATCGATTCACATGCATCCCCACACCTTACACACTTATTTTTACTCTCTTTAATCATCCTCTCCCTCTCGCACTCTCTTCCCGTTTGTCCTCTTTTACATACTTAATAGGTACATCCAGAGTTTACGGTGCCTTATCGTAAAATACAGTACAGATTCGTGTTCAACGCCATTCGACGAGGTACCGCTGGTATGCAGATTTAGGGAAAAGAAAGTCCACTCTTACTTTTTTTTTATTCTTCAGCATCGAAATTCGGTCGCAAGGAGGGACTGGAACGACGGTGCCCGTTCGAGTTGTCCAGCTATACTATCACACGGCTCAAATCTCCGGAACACCCTTGGAAACATTACGAAAATGTGATTACATATGTGCGCGTGTATGCATCACCCGTAACAATACCCCGAATGGCAGATTGAAACACGGTTTACATTTTTAATCGTCGTTCATATCATAAATATCTGAATATAATATATATATATATATTTATATTTGCATTTATATTTATATATTTATATTTATATACTTTTTCTCTCTTTATGTATACGATGAGTTTTGTCGTGTGTGATTCTTTATCTCTTCCGTTCGCTTAAGCATTAACAACAGTCAGTTCGTTCGTAGTATATTAATTATCACGCTAAAGCCTAGCCGTTCGTCGTCGATTTTTCTTCTTCTTCTTTTTCTTCATTTTTATTTTTATTTATTTTCCTTGAAAACCTATGGTTGGTACGTTAGTGTCATTACGTGTACGTGTGTATGAGTATGAGAGGTGTGTATCTCGCGTCCAGACACGTCTTTGCACGGGTCAATAATTTGCGATTTAATTATCCCTAATTACACGCCTAAGATATTGTACATGATACAGACATCTCTTTTAGCTCGTTCTCGTCTCGTAGGGAGGGATTCGCTGGGTCAAATCGATCCAGAGGAATACAACTACTTTCGCGATGCCTTTTTCTCTGGCGATTACGAGAAGGAAGACATCGTTTTGTTTCGATCCAGCGCGAGTTTCTTGCATTTCTTTGCGATTCCATCGAGCGTAACACGATTCGACGATCAAGAGCCATACGTTTGCTCGATTTAGATTCCTCTGAAAATGGTCAAGACCGATAGAAATGATTCTAAATGGTCGTTGATCGTGTTCGTCGCTGTTGATGGACACTCCACTCGACGCTGGACATCGGCTCGGTTTCTCTGATTCGTCGGGAGACTAACATCAGACTCCAGACGGTTATGTTCGCTTCGTTATCATTGACTGACATTTTTTTAATACGTAACTCGCGACCATAGCAATGGCAAAAGTGGAAACGTATGTCTTCGATCGAATTCGTGTAACGAAAATGATACTCGGGTCAAGAGAACACCAAAGACCGAGAAATCGAATCTGCTATTTTAAAATTCCATTTACTTTTCTGCACGCTTCCGTCAACTTTCTCTTCTCTCTTCTTCGCCCCGTTTGTTATATTTCATAGTTTCGTTAGCGTATCCAAAAATTAATAAGAAATACGTTTATATTGGCTTTTTATCTTTTCGACACGCTAACTACGCCTACACGCCCTTAAATTTTAAATCAATGTCCCTCCGGGATTCTTTTTGGGAAATGATAGTCTTGAACAAGTACTTATTCAATTGATCAACCCGAAGGAAACATGATTTCTCTTTTTATTTTAAATATGTTACATCGACATCGAAGTTAAAAACCGATAACGAATTAAGATCGTCTTGTCGCGATTTACAGTTACACACATTTTTTATTTTTAACAAGGACACAGTTACATACATGCACACATACATATATATATTTTTTTTTCAGATTTTTCAGATTTTTTAACAACATTTCCTATTCTTTGTTAATCGTCGATCGTAATTGGCAGTAAAGATTAAAAACGAAGACGTTCGTTGAAGGTATACGATAGAAAAGACGATGTAAATCGACAAAATCGCGGCAGTTCTCGTTTTCGTATCACTTAATCGGCGATTTAATATATATATAAGAACCTTATTAGATGAGAGCAGTCTTCGAGAATGTTGATAAAAGAAATGATCGCGCGACTAAGGAATTCGTGATTAGACGAAACGATGACGATGCTCTATTTTTTTTTCTTTTCATTTTTCCTGTTCTTATATATCACAATAAAAATTCGGTTAGATCACATGGTTTCGAACAGAGTCGTTTCGAAGCTGTTCGATCGTTGCTGATAAGAACCGATCGGAGCCCATCGGAATCATCGAGCACGCGGTGTTGCGATTGGAAAATGATGAATTATCGAACGATTCGGATTGTCGTCGCTGTACTTTGTGCCACGATTCGTTGGGCCGAAATTCTTCGGGAAATTCTCTAATATAGCTTGCGGTTCTTAATTAAACCTTACACTTGTATCTGGTTACCAATTACGATTACGATCGTTGGTTCAGCACGATTATAATCATTTCACGTGATCTGGATGATCATTTCGTTCGTTCGATCACACGAAAACAGTTTATTAGCCTCAATTCCCTGTGACATCGCATATTCTTAGCGGCGAGAAGAGAAGAAGAGAAGACACGTTGATTATCATCAGCGTATCGATATTTATTATTCGATGATAGCGCGAGTTCGATCGGCCGGTCTTCGTCTGAACGATAGAAATGAAAGTAAGAAATACTTAAATCGAACCGGGAACGAATATAAACGATTCTTTGGTAAAGAAATGATCCAACTTATATAAAACGCGTATTATATGTATACATACATCTACATGTATAGTCGTATGTGAGGTTTCGTGTAGGTGTGTTGAAGATTTATGTAAGTGTGCACATAGGCGCGTGAATGTCGTGTATATACAAAAAACAAGGAGGTGTACACTTACACAATGAACAGCGTGAACGAAGGTCCGGAAATGGCGTGCGTTTGCGAATGGATTTTTGGCACCCAGCAACACCGGAAACAGGACCTCTGTTTCTCTTTTTCTTTTTTTTTTTCACTATCTTATGTACGCGTACTCTCGTTCAGAAGAGCGTACGCGTACAGGTCTGCGCGACTAATTATTTACACTAAAGATGCTCGAGAGCCGTTTTCAGGCTGATCTTAGGTTCGAGTCGCCGTCCTTCCGTTTGTGCGAAGACGTGTCCAATCTGGAACTCCCTGCGCTTGGGCCTTTGCGGAAGAGAAAAGGTTCGTTAGTAAATATACTTGCGTACCTTGTGCCTACCTGCGCCTCACAACTCGATAGTATAGAAAATTATTCTAAACCCGTCGAAAGCACGCGTAGGTATCGCTTTGTTCGAAGAGAACCCTTGAAAATCATTGTTTGTTCTCCACCTGTTTGCTTAACACAGACTCGTCTCTCGCCGATGTATAGAGCAATATGATTATTTACGAACTTTTGAAAAAGGCTAATAATCCGTCTTAGGTAAAGAATAACGAGTAAACAAAGGAGAGAATGGTTTTAAGGATCGTTGACAAGGAGAAATACCGAAGTGTTATTCTTAGATTTTAGCTGATTAAAAATCTAAGAGAGACACTCGATGGAGTTTATCTTACGAAGGTGAGTACTTGAAGAAGAGGAAAGAACGAGGTACTCACAGAATCAGGATTACACTTCGGGCAGTGAGGAGCTCGATCGGTTACAGCGGCTCGGACCGGCTCGAGGAAACACTGCAACCGAAGATCGGCAGGCATCATTGAGGCAACATCTTGCAGCTCGTCTCCATACCTTCTGGTGGCACGCGCATGTTGCCGTTCGTTACGTATCCATTCGCATCAACGATCACAGAAACGCTGCCCGGATGATTGTGATAGCTGACGTTACGATGGGTCATTACGATATTCTTCTCGTGTTCGTTCCCAGCGTGACTGAACAAACAGCTTTCGCTGCTTCTGCTACTGCATGGCTCCATCGTGTGATCCACCCGGATTGGAATGGAATAATCAGACATGGAGTTCACCTCCACGGTCGCGTATTCCCTGATCATCGTCGGTTTCGGAGAATAATCCACCTGCATGTGTTGCATCGATGAAGTCGGTACATCGGTTGGATCTGTTATCGTCGACACGTGACCATTGGCCATCGAATATAGATCTGGTTCATCGTGACCTTTCGACGAGAGCGTGGTCTCCAGACATTGGTACAGCAACGCGTAATCCTCCTGTGGATGATGAATACAGTATATGAACGAGGCGAAGAGATTTGTCTTCTGAAAACGATGCGGTGAAACGTACCTTTGATCGAAAAACTCCAGGTCTCTTCATGTACAGCAACTTTGAGAACATATAAATATCAGCAGTCTTCTCGAAGTCAAGTTGCTTGTTCAGCGTTGTAAGGAGGACGAAAATTGCTGCCTCGACGCCACCGTACCTGTCCACCACCACGATAGGACCATTTTGATAGTCCCGATGCAAATCATGGATGAGGGTGACAAATGGTCTGGGATTGGTGTTGTGTGGCCAGAAGCCGGGTTGAGATCGGGGTCTTTGGACGATTAGAGGCCTCAATTCGTAATCGTCTTGTAGAGATCGGACCGCAACTTCTCGCAGGATCATACCGCTGGCGGTTTCTTTGATTCCATAGAATCGTACGCGGAAGGTTTCCGACTCCAAGACTTTATCCTCGGTGGGCCAAAATTCAGGGTACTCCTAAGAGTAAATACACGTTTCATAAAACATTCTAACCATTTCCTCTTCAACAGATAAACGCGTGTCTTACTTACTTCGTTGTATTCTGTTAACATAACTACGGTCTGAGCGTTGTAATCCCACATCATCTGCCAGAATTCCATAATGGTATTTTCCATGGGGTGTTGGGTGATGATGAATTCACGATTGCAATGGAAACCAGCAATCCATGTGGCGTTGATATAGTCGCTTCCATCGGTTCCAGGCTTCGGTGTTAAGTGAACGCGAGCAGTTTCGATTGAAATCACGTCTTGATTGCGATTCTTATGGATGTTGTACGGCTTGATCGCAGACACCAGATTAAACTCTTTCGGTTTCCACGATGTCACCAACTGCAATCCAATTTTATCAGCAATCAGATTCGAACAGAAAGAAGATCAATGTGACGCTTTAAAAAAAATATTCATACCTTGTATTGTGCTTCAAGATTGTTCCACGCATCGGTATTGGTGTTGTTAGGATTTAGCATGTTTTGTACGTATTCCAGCAAGTTGTTCGCTTCGATATTGGTTTCGCCGCTTTCGATGGCCTCTTGTAAGGCGTGATGAATGAACACGTATTGTTCTTCGGTTTGTACCAAGAAATTTCGTTGCGTGCGAATGTGTTTCAAAAATCCAAACACATTCACTTCGTTTTTGCACTTGGCCTGCTTCAACATGGCATCGATGACGATGTAGGTACCAGTGCGTCCGACACCAGCGCTGAAGGATAAATAAATTTAAATTGATGCGTCTGTATGTATATTTCACAATACGCTAAGATATCTGAAATTTTTCTGGCGCTGCACCTGCAATGAACAACGATGGGTCCCGCATCCGGTGGATTGGCATTGGAAGATTTTCGAATGAAGCTCAAAACTGGTAGAGGATGTTCCGGAACTCCATGATCTGGCCATCCGGTGTAATGATACTGCCAAATAATACGTTCACCCATGTTGATTCCGTTCTTACGCTTCTTGACCTATGAACACGAATTAGGCCTCCAATCAAGAAATCAATTGCTTAATACTGTGGCGAGAAGGGCACTGAAAATTGAACCCGAGTCTTTCAAATATTTCTATATTTTAATGGTCCTGACTAACCTTTAGGTGGCGAATTTGAAGGGTGCGAATGGTGTATGTTGCCATAACATCCTCCCTTAACAAAGTCACTTGAATATAGCCGTACGTCTCAGATCCTGTCTTAGGCCAGTACATATCACACTTTTTCTATCAAACAAACAAGATAGAATCAATGAATTCGAGCAATTGGATTTATGAGAGGAACAAAGATGGACATTAAATGTGCATAGACAGATAGCCTCGACTTACACGGCCACGTTCTACTAGGTTGGTGATCATCACGACGATTGACACCTTTTGCTCCCAAACCATGCGCCAGAATCCATCGAAAGTCGGCGGCAATGGACCCTGTGTACCGATATACGCCCGTGTACGTTGCCAACCATCGATGTAATTCGCGTTTACGTAATCGTGACCCTTTTTCGGCGGTCCTCCACCACATGATAACAGCTGCACTCGAGTATGATCGTCTGTCAACGGAGATATCGAGCTAATTATTGAATTGTCAATCCTTTCGATACTAAATTAATACGAACCGCGTGAAAGTATTTAATTGCAACAATGTGCTTCGTTTATCTCACGAATTACTCGATCATATTAAATTTCTGACGCGTTAATTACATTCCAGTGTCGCCTGGTTCGCTCGAGACGTTCAATTAAACCCTGAAATCTTCAGATCGACGTGTTACAGATCTCGATCGGCCAGGTGATCGCGCGTGTCTCTCCTCCTTTCATCCTTTGGCCCGTTGATGGGCATTAACGAGCAGTGCCTCGAAGCATCTGTGACCTCGTTGCCGAGCGTTCCCGGTCACTCACATTAAAAGCGAACGAGAGCAGCTTGTTAATCCGATAACATTGCGAATGTCCGAGACGAAGTGTTCGCAACGTTGCGAATATTAAAGCCTCCTTCTATCGTCTTATATTTCGCGGACTACGATTACCTTTATCTCAATGACTTTCGATAACTTATCTGTACATCAGACAAAAAGTATTCCCTTCGCGTCGGACGCGATCAAGTGGCACAGATTGCATCGAGGAAATGTATGCGCCCGATATGTCCGTTTAGTCCGGCTCGAATCTTTCCATACGACCTTTGTTCCATCGCGCAAGATAGCTGGACGTGAAAAGACACCCTTCGCGTCGGACAATAACGATCGGACGACAACCGGTCACACCTTTGTCTCGTCGATTGATCTATCAGCAAAACGAAGGAGGCGTGACGTTATTTAAATCGATTGAACGTCTAACCAAGTGTCTGCGACGCGTCGCGACGTCGCGTCGCCAGCGAGATTCTAACTCTGAAATTCTCAACAAGTCCCACTATATGTGTATATATCATTGTACGCGTAATGCAACGACGCGTGTTTCACGGATCAAACGAAAGTCGAGGGTAATTTCAGCTCTATTGGAGACCGTTTCCGACGCAGCCACCACCGACGTTGCGACGATTGCAGACTTCCGATACGCGCGCGATTACAATTGTCGTCGCATTGTGCCGTTCTGTCTCTGTCACGAAACCTATGACTTACCAGCATCATTGATTTACCCGCTCGATAACGAACGAAGCGGAAAAGGAGCGTTACATTTGGTTTTACCGAGCACGAATCTCTATGCCGGTGGGCCATCGAAAAAGAAACAGATACCACGTGGATCTGTCGAAAGTAACGCTTACGCGATTATATCTATAGAGAAGATTTCAATGAAATAACGCGACATTTTACTTCTTTCATAAACGAAAGGCTAATTACTCACAGGCCAATATGTTCATATATCGATTCTTCGTTTTGTTCTCGACGTATTGAGAATTCTCCGCTGTGAATTTGCCACTCTCCGACTGGATAAACTCGTACTCCTTGCTGAATCCGATGTCCCCGTCAGCGTGCAAACTTGCGACGTGTTGAACGAACTTTTGAATAGCCACCGCTGTCCGTTCTCCGTCCTGTTCGCTGTTCTCCCATTCCTGAAGAGTCGGCACGTTGCGTGGCGGATAGTCGAGGAAGTAGTACGCCGTGTGGAAGCATTTCCTGAAAATTGGCCTCAGGCAAGGCCTGATGAGTTTCACCATAAGCATGCATTCGAAACGTAACGTAAAAAAGTGGAGGTAAACGGAACGGAAACGAGACACGACGATGTTTGTTGAATTTATTTGATCGATGAAGCGCCATGCTGTCTCGTAATTGAAAATCAAACGCTCAAACGTAAACTTTGCCTTACACGGATTCCGCAAATCGTGCGTTGGATAAAATGTTATAATTGAAAAAAAAAAGAAGAAAAAAATTAGACGTTCGTTGGCAATGAACGCGTTGAATAATCGATGATTCTCTAATTTTTCGAAACTCACAGCTCGATGAACTTCTTCATCCCGACAACGCGCTTTTCTCACTGTCCATTCTAAGTTGTAGAAGAAAGTTTCCACGATCGGTACCAAGAACGGAGGCTAGCGTTCCTCAGAATAGATCACCAGCGGACTGTACAGCCGTCCGTGACCCAGAAATATTCCTTCACGAATCGTTTGCCCGCGAGTCGGACGGTATCACGGTTGAATCGGCGTCCTTCAGCATCTTCGACGACGATCGAGGCGAAAATACGCGATTGCACCAAGCGGTTTGGCACACGAACCGAGCGTACTCCGAGCAAAACGTTGCTGTACGACTGGGAAGCCTTACTTCGTCGTTGTTACTAGCCGTTATCGCGAACGATAAGGGGTCAACCGTACGACAGAGAAGGAGAAAGATTGTGGGAAGCAAGGTAAAGGAAGGAAAATTAAGGTGAGGGAAGACGGAGGGGAGAGAAGAGAGAACGGTGGATACGTGAACCAACTACAACGAGTGTTTGCCTTTCGCGATATTGTTTTCCTCTCCCATTAGCGATGATCGAGAGAGGACAGACTAAATAAATATCGTAAAATCAGCCGACGAACAAGTTGATTGCTCGATCGATGCACAGACGTGCTAACTTACGATGCTCGTAATACTACCGTCGTGGTGGAAATAGTTGTGCATGCTAAGACACGCGACAATATGGATTATAGAAAATACAAACCCTGAAATAGCATAATAGACTTGTCCTTGTCGGCGTTAAATCGATAGTTTCTCTACTCTAAAGTAGACAGAGAATAGACAATTGGCAATTTCTACTGTTACCAAAGAAGAAAAAAAATAAGAAAATGCTTTAATGTCTGGTTTGGAACTTCAAACACATCAAAGGGACATCGTATTTTCAAGAGAAAGCATTGAATTTCGTTTTTTTTTTTTCTCTAAAGTTTCGTTTCGGTACCGATCGTTTAGTATCGTTTGACGCTTCGTCGATGAAACGCAGGGGAACAAGGGGACGGGTCACAACGATGCGAAACAATGTCATGCGAGGAAAAAAAAAAATGAAAGTCAAAGGGCAGATGTTTGATCCTCACTTCCATAAGATGAAGGACGTGATCATCAGCATCACTGCCACACAGGCGCAGATCATCCCAGCGATTACGCCGCTGCTAAGCTCTCTGGTGCTGTGTGGTAATAACGGTGGTGTCCTGTCGCAATCCTGAACGACCCGCACTTTCCGTGGAATGGAACCTTCTCCGTGTATGATCAGTCGATTGTCGATTGCGCTCCGCGTGCCTCCACGTACCACGATCTCGTACACGCTGTTCATCGTTAGGTTCGGTATAATCGTCTGCAAATCAACGGTGGTTCCTCTTTTCGAATATTCTTTCATTTATCTTTTCGAAGCTTACAGCGGGCAGCTTTTGATCGGCTTAATCGAGTCGATCGACATAAAGTAGTTTAACTAAACGGTTTACGCTAAGGTTTCGTTGTTCGACATTTTTATCATTCAAAATGGCTAATGCGCTACATAAAACAATGAAGTTACCGTTTCAGACATCAGTCAACTGCTTCTTTATATTATAATATTTATGCAGTTAACAATTACCTGCTATTAATTTTGAAACAATATACTTTCGTTCTTCTTTCTTTTTTTTCTTATCTTTATCAGTCCGCGAGTATTTTCACGATCTCCATCGCAAAGAAACTCTGTGAGTCATCTCGAAATTTTAATGTCGAATACAACGAGATAAGGGAGCTTGTACGTTTCGCGAGCTTCCGCTGTGTCTACAGACGATAGCCGGCATAACGCTTGCTAGTCCAAGGATATCTGCTGCCAGTCAAGCGTGTACTTACACTCGACAAACTTAGCGATCCACTATCGACATTCATCCGCAATAATCTTATCTACGACTTATCGTGTTGTCTCGATTAGACGATCGACGGAAAAAAGATTCGATCTACGAGTTGCGAAGCTCGAAAAAGACGAAACGTTTTGACCGTTCGTGTTCCACTCTAGTAATCTCTGGCGAAAAAAGTGGCGAACGGAGAAAGTGAAAATTACTGAGACCTACGGTTACGAATAGCCTCGCGAGAAAATGAAATGAAATAGGAAGGAAATTACGTACAGCGCTCTCCAGATGATTTTTCTCTGCGATCACTTCGATTTCCTCGTAACGTTTTCCGCTTTCGATTCGGTAATTGATGAAATAGTAGTCAATGGAGCCCCAGAAGATGTTCGGCCTGGCCCATTGGATGTAGACCGAGTCGTGGGTCGGACATGTCACGTTTAAAATCAATGGAGGACTGGGTCCTGCGATATCTGTCCGACGAATTATGTGATCAGACGGTTCACCCTCGTTTTTCCAGGTGTACGCTTTCACCCATATTTTGTATTCTGTATATGGTTCTGAAAGGAAATTGTCCATTCATTTTACGGCTGTATTAAAATAAAAGTACTGATTACCCTCGCGATAATCGTTGCGTTAACGTACACGAAATATCTTGGTTGTAAAAGATTAAGTGATCGAACAATTCTTTGAAATATTAAATTAGCGTTTTATTACGGGAAATATCGATATCAGTTTGTTATCTAACGATGCATTCATCTGCAGTTATCGAGCTGAAACATGTAACTCAGCCTATTGATAAGACTTCTGGCTTATCGGTGAAACGAATATGCTGACGTTATTTCAGCATTTGACGATAATTCCAGAAACAGATATTAACAGAGTCGTTTGTTTGATCGCGACTTAACTTCTAACGAGAACAAATCAACAAAATACCTTGAAATCTATTCTCTGTACTTACCCAATTCGTTTAAAACGAATTCGATGATCGACCCATCGTCTTCATCGGTTTTATACATCTGAACGTCGGTGTAATTGGAATGCATGTAGTAAATACGATAACCGGAAATGATTCCATTGGCGCTCTCCGGTTCGGCCCATGACAGTTCAATGGTGGTGGAGGTGATGCCATGAGACGAGAGATTCAATGGTTTTGTTGGTACTGGAAAAAAAAAAATGAAACAATAATTAGATTCAATATTCAATATTCGTAATTTGTCACTGTCGGTGATTCCTTTCGAAAAAATGTATTTCCAAATATTGCACGAGAATACAAAATTACTAGCCGGCTATTTTCCTCGGTTATTTTTAAAATTGCAGCCCTTGAAAGACTCCCTTTGACGAAACAGCTTGAAACGTCAATTTCCAGTACTCGGGGCGCAAGCACCGCTTAAAAACGCGCGATTCCGTAAATGATTTTTCGGTCGACGTACTCGGCACCTCTTTACTCTCTTTTTCGCCGACCGTTCATCATCTTCCAAGAAGGTGGCTTTCCAATTTCCCGTCCACAAAGACGAGAGCAAGCTTGCGACGTCCAAAGTCTGAATAATTAATTTCGCCTCGAGTGTCTTCTCAGACCCCTTCGCGCCGCGACGAGTAACTCTATAGACACCATTCACTTTTCGTACGAGCGACCGTAACCGCGGAGAACATCGAGCCTGAATTCTACCACGAGCTTCTAAACAATGAGAATAACAGAAATCGAACGAGCAACAGATCGCGTCTTCCTTTCACGGGGCTTTCATTTTAACGAAACGATTAGTTACAAGGGAAGAAACAAAAGTGCGACAAGTGCGAAACAATCTATCCTTTCTATGGCTTCGCGATTGAATTTCGTGGAATTTTAGCAACTCGCACAAGGGTTTCCATTGCCCGTCAACGAAATCGAATTCTCGAGTGACTATTTCGAATGAGAGATTCTAAAAATTTTCAACGTTGATCGGTTTTCGAGATTCATTTTATCTTCCAAGTCGAAGATAGTAAAAGTCTACACCTTTGGTCATAGAAGCGTTTAAAATGTACCGAGCCGTTCGAGGGATTGCGTTAACGCGCCTTCGTTGTGAAATCTCTTCACGCTCGTGTGAATCAGCCTTAAAGCGACACCAAGCACGCGTCCATTACCAATTAAACGTGAAAATTTGTTTGCGTCCATAAAAGAAAGATTTGATCAGATGAAATTTCCGTCGATCGGATTACAGAGATATCGATACGGATGAATTACGTGATCTAGTAGCTCGACTAATTGAACGCCGCGATCGAAACTTTCAATGCAATTACTTTCTTAAGCGTAATTTCATTTTAACAAGCGTACACGCTCCGTTTTCATTTCCAGCTTGAATTCCTCAATTGTACATGCGCGTACGATCGTAATACGATTATTTGCAATTTAAATGCACGGAATTGGAGCTCTTAAACAATTCTATGCATAATTTCGACTATGTAGATTTTGTATTATTTTAGATATCATTTATCCGGCATAAGAAAATCTTAGTTTAAAAGTTTGAGTGCTTAATTTTAATCGGTGCATCAGAGGTTTGGGCGATGACTGACTCGCCCCCCACCGAATTTCACACCTTTCGCGTTTGTCTGAAGCTTCTCTCGACAATTTTTTCCACGCTGCTTCATCGCAAAAGCTTGTCGCGACAATCAGCTTCCTTCTTTCGGGAATCTTTCTGCGTCGTGAGAAAAATGATGCCCGAGGGACGAGTTAGACATCATTCGTGTTCGCGTTTGGAAGGCGCCTACGAGCGAGGAGGAAACAACAATCAGGTGCAACCTTTAGAAAATTCACAGTCGGGTGACGTTGTATCGAGTACCAGACACGTACCGGTGGAAAAATGAATAAGCAAGGTCGAGAGGCGTGTAAATTGATCTGAGTCTCTTGCAAAGTAACGAAGAAAACAAGCAACCGACAATTACATCGATGACTCGCGCAGATTTCTCGTTCAAACTTTTCCGGGTTGAGCTCGCGACTATGGGAAATCGTAAACGTTTTCCCTCTCTCCCTTTCGTCGCCGATCAAACGTCTTTATTTGGTGGGATCTCCTGAAAATGTCACTTTCCTACGTGTTTCGCAATCACTTTCCACCTTTGGAGAACGGATGTTCCTTGATTTATCACGTTACAAGCTTGCTAAGATTTACAGTTGATACAAGAGAAATTGGAAAACGAAATTTCCAACTTTGTTACTCGTCGTTAATCTCGAATGGTGTTAAATAGACATTTAATATTCATCGCGATGTAAATGTTCGATCTACTTTACGATAATTTACCAGCCACTTTCTTTCGTACCTCTTTATACGATCTGACATTCGTGTTAGCACTTGAATAATGTCCACCGAGCGGAAAATTTAAATATAATACACACGCGAAATGGGTAGCTGTCAGGTAACGATTCGGTTAACTGTTCACTCGGAATCGTCTTGGTGTGAAAGAAAATGGCACGGTGAAACGAAAAGATGCTATCGTGATTGTCACGAAACGATCTATATACAAACTGGCTCGCTGTTATTACTAGTCGAGCGTAAATACCAGAGCTATATTTGATCTTTTCAGAATTCAATCTTACCATACTCTAGAACAATGTTATTCTCGTTTTATTGTCGCTGTGGCAATCAACCGAATACATAGTGCAATATTTAAATAAAAAATATAATGGCTAGTATTTTACCACTTTATTCGACACGTTTTACGATGTACCTTGCTTAGAAATTTTATCTCCAATTATCCGGATAATTGTATAGACAGTTGTACGATAGTGCATAGAAGAGAAATAGGCGAAAGTCGCTTTATTAGGATCGGCTTGCTATGAGCAACGGTACCGAAGTGAAAGGAGTTCTTTGATAAGAAAACCAGTAATCACTGGCTGCCTGTTTCAGGTATTGCACCAGTCTCGTTTCCGGGACTGCAAGTTTATGAACTTGAAATGCACGAGGGCGAGTTTTTCGACCGACCATTGGTCTTATCCAAGCTAGCCATGCACCGCTGCGATTTTGTCCTCGGACTCGATGTCGAAACAAAAACGTTGGTAATTTAACGTGTTCCGTGATGTTTGACTCACCGGTGATTCACTTCGTCGTTAAGTGTTTTGTTCGAAGGATATTCGTATTCAAAGAAATCTGAATTAACGTAGAAATCGAAGCTTGAACGTTAACGTTTTATTACTCTAAAGCGTCGTTTGATTATAATTTGCGGATTAATTATATTCGAGGTATTCAAAATTTCGCAAGGATATCGCTGTTTGTTAGTTTAAGTAATTAAAAATTCACGTGGAATAATAAACGAATTAGAAGTCGTCCATCCATTTTCGGCATGGAAATTAGGAACGCGACCTTGGCATCCGCCTCCATCCTTTCGTAAAAATAGAACGTGTCTGGATGCCTCGAAAACGGCCAACGTGCTTCGACTTCCAAAAATAAAGGAAAAAAGAAAAGAGAAGTCTAAATACGATACCAACGAATTTCCATAATTTTATAGTTGACTGGCGCCACGAGATTCTACCCTCGAACGACACAGCCAGGTCAATCATTAAATACAGTCAAGATTTTTTTTGTTTTTATTAGAGTGTGATGCAAAGGTAGAAACTAGCTAAAGAAAAGCGTAGCCAGCCGCGGGTTCAGTCGCGGCGGGCGGAAATGCGATTCGCTTCCTGGCTGAGGGAGCAGGATCGAGTAACGATTTCCCAAGAGCCGGTGGCGCTTCCTCTCCCGTCGTACAACTAGTTTCGTGGCCATGCTTTGGAACCTGATCGCGAGCAGGACTAGAAGAAACGTAACGCGCTGTTTTCATGCCTTTATGACAACCTACACACCCGCGAATCCGTGCTCAACCACTTACGTAACTGGTGGTCTTGCGCGGACGCAACAAGCTGCGTTTCAGGAGAACCAGACCAGCAACGCGAGAAGGTGCGCGAGAAGAAGAAGGAGAAGGTAGATCGGGAACGAGATAAAACGAACCTGTGCACCGCGTTAGGTGGACAGGCGAAGTGGATTCCGCGAGAGAAATGTAATACACGAGCTGCACCTTGTTCCTCGAATCGAGACGGAAAAGGAAACGAGTCTCAGTCGGCTTGATTGCACGCGACTGGAAAATCTTTAACCATTACAGACTCGACGTTCTTGTAGGAAAATTCTTTTTTCATCAGCGAAGTATAGACAGAGGGGAATGGGATCAAGGGATTGATATCTAATAAAGGATTTGAACTCACGAACGCTTCCAATCAGTGTACATCGGATCTCATCTCTAATAAATACCTCGAGTACGTCAAGACGAGATGCTAATATCCCTTCGATCGTCTTCGTTATTTATTATGCTTGAGAATCGTACCGTGAAGCATTCGATTCGCAGAACGATGATGGGTTCACGATGGATCGATCATTTTCCTCTTTTTTCCGGGGGAATATTAAATTTACCGGTCTCGCTTGTATCGCCGGTACCGGTACCGATAAATTCCCTGCCGTTAATCGTATCCATAAATTTCTCCCGCTCCGAAAGCCGATGGATGAGACGAGGACCGATCGGTGGGGAGTTCATTAAAAACTCACTGATAATAAAGCATCCTACGGAGATATTTTATTCGTCCAAGCATTACTCTGTCCCCGTTTATTTATCGTTGCCAGGGACGAGAGCTGCAGGATCAGAAATGTTGGCAATTAATTCGATAAATTGCGAGCACTTTTTATACCCTTGTTTTTTTTTCGCACGATCACCGACGTCTGTAACCTCGGGGCTACTTTTCATACTTCCTGCTTATAAATCTCGCATAATTACGACGGTAAATTTTAACGAAGAATCATGGAAATTCTATGACGTACGATCGACGTAACGATGACGAAGAACACCGAGTGACTAGCGTCGACAAATAACGACGTTCGACGCAGGAATTCGATGATTTACCTCGGTAAATTTCGCTGTCGTTCTCCGTAGAGGACACGGGCAGCGTGTAGGTGGTCGTCTCGTAAGTCGACTCTTCCGTCTGAGCGATCGAATCCGCGGACGCGAAGAGTATCCGCAGCATGACAGCCACTGCGGCCACGAGTTGAGCGGCACTGACTATCCTGGCCCACGACATTTTCGTTTTGCAGCTGCAGCTGTGAAGCTCGCCGTGGTCTGGCCTGGTGCTGCACCGCACGGCGTGGTTCGCTCGCTCCTTCACCGGGCTATTTCACGAATTCGTCCATCCTCGTTACTCTTCCCGGCGTTCTCATCGCGATTGCTTTTACCCTGGGAACGGCACTACACGCGACATACACAGACGCAGACGCGATACGCGACAGGACGACGGTCTCTCGAGTCTTCGGGAATGTCCATATCTCCCTTCTACGAAAGTTACATCGTGGACCCGTGGTCCACGGGCGAGAAGTTCATTTTGCGCCGTCTCATCGCACCTTTACCATTCGTTTAACACACCGGACGAAGCAATTGATCCTGGCTGGGTCGTTTCGTTGGAAAATTCAGACGGGTTCGATGCCCAGCAACTGGACGGATCAGATTGGTCCGTACCACCTTGGACGCCTGAAGGAACGAATAGGAAAATTGTCGAGGGTATATCGGGCAGCAAGGATCGAAGCTAACGATTGCATTCGCGCTGCATCCTCGCGGTCCGTGATACGCCTCACGTTCATGCAACGTGATCGGAATATTAACGTGGCTCGAGATCGAACGGCTAGCCCAATTTGGTCTCCTCCCGGCTGACCACCTCCCTCTGTCCCTCTTCGACCGTTCTTCCCACCGTCAGAAAGGAGATTCACCAACGAGAGTGGATGAAACGAAAAAAATTAAAAGAGACGAACTCGGGTGTTAGACGGTCGGTGTTCTCGCTCCCGTTGTCCTAATTGCCTCGTCGACCGCCTCAATTAGTTGGAATTATGACCTCGATTGTTTCTCGTCGGGCATATACGAACGCTGGCCAGCTACAGAGCCGGTAGCAACAGCGGAGACGACTGGCGCGGCGGCAGCAACGAGCGCATCAGCTCCGCTGCTCGCCCGGTCGCGCAGCAATAATTACACGGCCCCTCTGCAACGTTTTAAAACGGCTTCCCTTTATATTTTTAGTACGTTAAGACCAAGAGAGGGAGCTTACGCCTTCATGGAACTGTCGAGGATCCAGAGAAGACGCTAGTTTTACGCTTTCGCAGAAAGGGTTGTCGAAAATTATGCCCTACCTCTTGGAGGACCATTGAAAGAAGAAGAGCTGTACCGTGTACATAGATCGATTAGATATAAACTGGGTTTATCTCTGATAGCAATCAATCGATATTTGTAGAAGATCGAACGCTATTTCCACCAGGAATAGAATCTTATCTAGGAAGAAGTAGGATCATTTAAGACAAAGACGAATCGTTTGTCTTCGATTTGTTCGAGCGTGTGGCAAAACGAACGACCACTCGCAATTATGACTCACTACGATTGCGATATTAACCGCAAGTTAAACGAGAACCGGCCGCAACGGCGCTGCACGCGTGCACGGGCAACGCGCGAGCCTTGACATTTATACATACGTCACGGAGAAACTCTATGTTCATCCTGGTTCGAGCGGAAAGTTGGACCGAAGGAAACGCACGCGTCGACGAGTTTCGACAGGTGTACCGTGGAAAAACATTTCCGCCGATCGCAGATGAAAATTCGAGTTCTCGCAATAATGGATGAGTCACTCGCGTGCCTAGCCTCGAAGCGTACACCTATGCAGCCTCGCATCGTTATGGTCACCGCTTCAAAGTACACTGTAAACCCTCTCCAACCGAACAACCGCCAATTGAATACCAATTAACTTTTCTTTCTGAAATTATTGAAAATGCTTGAAAACTCGAGGCGACCATTATCAGCGAAACATTTTTACGGTTTTCGAGTAAACGTATGACTGCCATGATTTATAGAAGATCCTAAAAACAGTGTTTACACTACAGCCGGGACAAGGTTGCGAAGAAGATACCACGCGTTTCTTCCAAACGCTCTAACCATAACTAGAACGTGTACGCGTTTGAATCTTTTTTTTTTTTCATCGTTCATATATTTGTTCTTTAAACGGTTTCCACTTTGGAATACCTGCATAACCGTGAAATAATACGGCGCAAACCGTTCCATTGGACGACCGGAAGAAGATATGCATTCTGTTTTCAATTTCAATATCCTTCGCGATAAGAAGGATCCAATTTCAGGAATGGTCAATGGAAAACACGTAACTCGGCCCACCACGAATCGATCTGTATTTATATAGCGTAGGTGCATTTGCATAGGTCGCTCGCACCGGTGACACGGTATCGCGTGGGATCGTTCGGAACGATCAACGAAGAGACACGAATCGATTCGTTTCACGAGACCGGGCGGACAGAGATTGAACAGCGAAGGGTGTAGCCCTTTCGACAACGATCGTACGTACTCGTTATACCTGTCACCGCTCCAAAAATCGAGCCGACCCTCTTCTTCGATCGAACTCCGAAATTCTCACGAAACAGACCGGTTGACCATCGGATTTTGCCTTACTTTCTACATTAACGAAGGACCATACGAATAGACCGTGCAACGAATAGAGTATATTTGAGAGTATCCGCTGGGGGGGAATAATTATCAAAGTGGATGACATTGACACGTATTTCGAGCAACGTCCACGAGAAGCCGTTTCTCGTTTACGCAGTCAAGATTCTATTGATATTCATAAAAGCGAAAGCAACGCAAGTATTTTTATACCGTTCGGTGTCAACGCACCACGGAGAAAACACGAAACCACTGGTATGAACGCAAAAGAGCAACGTTCCAGGATACCTGGAGAAATATACCAGCGATATCGGGGTATAAAATTCGATCGTCAAGAGGGAGAGGACACGTCTGTGGGGGCCAATCGAATGCACCGTTCCAAGCGTCGTTTTGGCATCGTGCGAAGAACCCTTCACGCCATATCGACCCTTCAACCTCGAGCCACGATTCCGCCCACGTCGAACCCGGTCCGTAACCCGTGTACCGGGCTCGATCGTTTCACCGATTTTTTCCTCTCTCTTTTTTCTAAATCGAAAGATCGAGCCGGTACAGCGGAGGGAATCACTGAAAACTTTCTCACACTTAAGCGTCACTGGCACTGAAGAAGCGTCGTTCGCGCGACGAATCAAACGCCATTTCGTAGAGGAACTAGATACCGTACCGGAACGGTACGAGCCACGATCTTTTGACGAAGGGAACGGAACGGAAAGATACTGGTGATCGTGTTCCTCGAACGACGGAACGGAGCCGAGTCGCCGCCTCTGGAAACGTAGCGATCCTGCGAAAGCGACAAAACGCACTGCCCTCCGCGAGGAACACGAACACTGCCGCGCATACGACTTGCTCCCACGACTACCACCGTCCACGCACACACAGTCGAGTAACTCGCGTAAACCGTGACTCTGTCAGCCTCTCTACGCTCCCAGTCTGACTTGCTTCCAGTCGGCAAGAGAACAGACGGACAGCCACAGAGAGAGAGGGAGAGAAACTCACAATCCACCGACAGACACAATTCTCATTTTTCCCCTGTGTTCGTGACGCGTACGTATGTGCAGTTGAAGCGGGAGGGTAGATGCACGAGGAGACGCACACCAGTTTCAATAAGCCGGCATACACGTGCGCCACGGACTGTCTGAGAGATGAATAAAGAAGGGAAAAGGTATCGAGAATGGGATAGAAAGAGAGAGAGTGACGAGAGAAAGGATGTAGAGAAGGCGCGACTGTGTGGGTTATTGGCGTTGAGCTCGCAAACGCCGTTTCCCTTCGGCTGTTCTCTCGCTTATCGCCTTTTCTTCACGCCCGTAGACGAGTGGAGACTTTGTCGTTTCCCGTCCGCCACGTACCACGACGACACTCTTGTTCCTCGAGGAGGCACCGCACGTCGGAGTGAAAAATCGTGGAAAATCGATCGTGGGACGAAGAGGCGCGCCGGTGGCGACGACCGAAACGGAGTGGCAACCTCCTCTTCGTACCTATCCCTCTCTCTACAGGCTGCTCCAAACAATTCAGACAAGCTCTGCCTTTAAAATGTTTTCACACGGAAAAACAATTAAATCCAACGAGCTGATGTATACTCTGAAAATGAGTTTATGCACTTTTGTGCATCGGTGCATCAGGAAAATGCAATTGCACCCTTCGCAGCTTAATGGAATTTTGTTGTATCATAAACGTGCAACCAATAGCAAATTTCAAAGTCCAATATCTCTTCAATAGTATCGATGTTACAGCTTGTCCCAGTTGCATGGAACGCTCTGTATACCTCTCTCTTTCTTTCCCTCCGCTCTCTTAGCTACCGCATCGTCCTATCTCTCTTTGTTCACGGTTTATCCACCAACGCTTCCGACCATCTCTATTCGCTGCATTGTTCCCCTCTTTCTCTTTATTCTTTTTACCCCTTCCACCCTCGCGTTGCTTTCCTTTCTTTCGATCGCAAACCGTTGTTGTTGTCACTGTTTCTCATCGTTGTCCGTTCTATCCTCGTCGCTCGTCCATTCTTCGCACCTTGTCCATGCTCGCCGTGATCCCTGCCCTGTGTCAACGTATGGATTTTCAGGGTGGGAAAATTCGCGTCGCTCGCTGACAATTCGCGAACGAGATCTGACGTACGGCTATGCGGCCGCGTAGACGAGGCTCCGAAACGAAAGATCACTGAAATACGTACAAACGGCCATGAAAATCTCGACCATACCTTCCCTCGGAAACGAAACGACGACGACACACAAGCAGCACCCGCTCATGGACGAGGAGAAGAGCAGCTGGAAACCTGCTGGCGACCAGGCCTTTCAGGGACGTACAGTTCGATCTTCGTACCACGTGGTCGTAACTGTCATTGTCAGGAACGTGGCTCGAATACGAAGCGTTCCGTCTTCTTTCGACGGCTGATAAGAATCTCTTTAAGCGATTTCGGAGCGGCGTTATTAGCGTTTCATTGTAATTACGATTTCGTATACTCTGCTTCATTTTTCAGACGCGTCGATAACAGGTCGAAGGGTATCAAGGGCTTTTCCACGGGGTATAGAGTTTCTCGTCGATAGTACGCATAATAGCGAATTGCAAAGAAGAAAGAGATGACAGGGTCGTGATAAAACGTTTGATAGATAAGAGCGGATACGACGACGGTTGACGCTGATAAGCCTCGTCGAAGAAATGCTCGACGGTATTACGCTTTATTAGTGTACAGCGGAGACACACTTGTCCGCGATAAATTCGCACAAAGAGGGCCAAGAGTTGAAATGTGGCCCGAAGTAGCGCATCCACGTAGAGGAGCAAAGTTGAAGTTCGTACGGAAATCAGGGACGTAGTTAGAGACAGATGAACCATCAGAAATTGCGAAAAGAGACTCGCTCGTGACCGGAATAGCAGTGATTTGCATACAATTTCTGAAGCGTCGCGTTCACTTTTATTGTACCTCGAGACTGTCGCATCGTCGTCGACGTACGATGAATTTAAATGATGTCGTTTACCGCGTCCAATGATCGAAAGATTGTATGCCTCGAGAATATTACGTTAATTCGTATCGCGTCTGTGTTTCGCGCAATTTATTTGGAGTCGCGTGACAGCAAACAATTAAGGAAAAACATGTTGTCTCCGAGGATTTGATTGAATTATTCAAACGTTGTTGAAACGGCTTTTAAAGTGTCGTAAAGTAAAACGTATGTCTTCTCGTTTCCTGTGATACAGCTTCGTTTTTATGTGGCAAGAAAAAGATTTGAAAAATATGTTATGATTTTGATACGAGATTCATAAAACACGCGTCGCGAGTTGATCAATTCTTATCGCGCGGTCGTAAAGAAAAACTGGATGACATCTAGCGAAAGTTCAATCAAATTTAATGACCGTCTCGTTTACATGCCACTCAGAACTTTTATCTCTTATTGGTAACTTTTCTTTTTACGTGGCTCTATTTTTTTATATAGTTTTTGCAAACGATCTCGTCGAAATTGATCCACTCAGACTTTTCGTTCAACTTTTGATGACCGATGGTAATTCTGTATTCTCGGAGGGATCTTCCTTTACGGATTTAGTCAAAGTAGGGATTCTCAAAGTTCCGTTTATCGACTGAAGGTAAGTACGGAATACAACAAAGTGTTCTGTTTTATCGATGGATAAATGGCGGAAAGTTTTGAAAATTTTGTGAAGAAAGAAAAAAATAAGGTTCACTCACCTCCTTCGTCGGTCATTACAGAAACTGTCGTCGCGGGACCATGTCCAGCCGGATTGAACACTTCCAGCGAGACTAAATACTGTGTGTACGTTTCTAAATTATGTATCTTGTGATTCTGTAACAAGAAAAAGGGCGCACAAATTTTATCACGGATTAATAAATATGTCATGTCGTACGGAGTATGCCAGAAATAAAGGTGGTATTAAAACGTCTTATGTAACTTACTTCAACGGCCGGATTACGTATGTATATGTGCTTTTCTTCCATGTGGGGTTTTACTCGAGGCTTATAACGGATTCGATAACCCAGAAATTCGCCTTGAATGGTGTCTGGACTGGGCGCCTTCCATGCCAAATAAATGGACGATGCTGAAGTGTTGTAAGCGCTGGTAATTATTGGCTTTCCTTTCGGCGCTGAAACAAGAAATAATACGCACATTCGTCAAAATATTTCGAAGCAAACAGAGAGCTGCAAAAATACCGCTCTTCAGATTGAATATTTACCATTCAACGATTTCCTGTTATTTGCCTTCCAAGCTTGAATTGTTATTTTAAAAAGATATTTCCAATAACGTTTTTTGATATTCTAGCTGAGTTTCAATGACCAACATCCCCTATATAGCTAGTTATTTTTACAATCAAAGTAAAATTTTTATCGTAGTCGATGTATTAAATTTTATTTTTCATCTAGAACATTGGCAGGTGTAATTTCTTATAGATTACAAATTGATAAAGGCAATTGTTTTTACAGATGTTACTTTCCTCGCTCGCTTTATCAAATAGAAAAACAAAAGTCACTGTTTCCGATTGATTGATGTGTGACAAACAAAATACAAGTGCGAAAAAATATGGAAACGAGCGGATTAATAGGAGATACCATCGAAATTTCATCTGTATCAAGGAAAAAAGAAACATATTTCCATTGATTGTTTGACAATCCGTTCGCAATAAATATCGCTACGATCGCATTTATTTCCCACCCTTTTGACTCGTTCCCGGTGAATAAAGCTCGAGCCGGAAACGCTTAATCGCGTTTCCCATTATTTCCTCAATCCAGGTACAACCGTTTCAATAGACTCGATCGTAATATTTTCGACAATTGATAGCTTTCGATTCGTTTCAAACACGTACCTGCTTAATTTAATATTTTTCACACGATCGAGTTTCGCCTGAACGATCGACATGCAAATCATTGTAATTTGATCTCCTTAATTGAACGTTCCAATTGTTTAACTCCCTAATTTTGTAGTTTCCAGTACTTCTAGCAATATATATACGTATATATATAGTATATGTTCGGAGAACACGACGTCCATGTCATACGCATTGTCCGAAACAATTAGCGTCCACGAAACTTGATGTTATAAAGACACTAATATTCCCGCTTACGGAAACTTCGTAAAGTCGCCGCGAAGGTACGCAAAATTGTTGCAGAAATAATTTGCAAGACCCTTAATGCGCGTCACGTGTCACTCGACGAGAAACTAGTAGACGGAAACTTCCGGTAGCTCGTTAACGTCCGCAGAAACCGGGATGACCGCCGCGAAAGTAAAGCGTTCGAGCGCAATGTCCCGCGCGAAAGTCGACGGGATAATTAATGTACCAAATACAGTGGCTGAAGCTCTTCATAGACGTTTCTATGAATAATTATCAACGAGGATTAACCATTTAATTCAATGACAAATTACTTGCACGAGTCGCGTTTTATTTCTTAAAGTAGTCTAATTAATTTTGAAATAAACCACGTACCTGAATGTGATCTATTATCATAATCGATGACAAGCGCCCTGGAAGGTATTAAACCGTCGTTTCATGGAAACATTAATTACGAACGCAGGCATTCTGAGAGAGCGAATATAGAGCCGCGTGGTAACGCAGGAGAATTCACGATTATTTTCCAGCACTTAATTTAGACGGCGGGTAAACTTTCTAAAGCGCGGTTCTCTTACTTTCTATTTACGCGCAAACTGCACGGAAAGCCCGGGTAATTTTTCCGGATAGACTAGCCGCCGGTGTCTGTTTTTATTTCGATGTCCCTCTGTCGTGCAATTATTCATAAGCCTCTGGACAATGTTCCGTTTCACCGCCTCGCGCGAATATTAATTAAGCAACCGTGAACTCTCGCTCGTGGTGTTATTTTTTAACGGATCTCGTTTTCGCCATTCTGCCTTTATTATATTCGTCTTGGACCTGCATTCAGAACTGAAGATGCTTTTAATGTTGGACGATAAATAGAGGAGACACTTAACTTTAGAATCTCTTGAAATTGAAAAATTGTTGGGACAATTGAAAAAACAATTTCGACTTCCTTTAATTCTATTTTTTTTTCTAGAACTCGGTCAAAATTAGCGCAAGAGTGAAAAATTGTTAAAATAATTGTGTGAAAAACTGGTATTCACTTCATGTAATTTGGTAAATAAATCATTTTGTTCATTTTAGTTATCTAAATAACTTTCCCAGTTATTTAGATAATTTATTTAACTTCTTTTCTCAGTTATTTATTCATTTATATAATATTCAATAACTATTTGATCTTTGATAAATGATAAACATAATATCCATAAAAATCAAACTTAATTTAAAACGCGGCAACGCAATATACAAGCTGAATCGACACGGTGTATTCCCGTGGTGCATCGATGCAATAAAAATGCCGCCACTTTACGAATCATCTTTTCTCGCAGCTCGATCTTTGGCAAAACGACGAGGGAAAAGGAGCCAGAGAAATTTCCACGATCCCTTATCGGCTGTAAAGGGAAGTAAAATTGACGTTCCGCGGTAACGTAGCCCCCTTTCTCGGTTGAACTTCATAATTCAGAAAGTTCGATTACCAGCTAGTGGGCCAGGATGTTACCGAAATTAGCCCGCGACCAGCCACGAATTCTCCAATTTTCCAGCCCCGAAACGGGGATACAAACTTGCACCCTCGCGTATACGCCGACACACCACTGTCCCGATGGCTAATTGGTGGCTCTGTTACGCCATATATTTATGGGGGACAGGCGAACGAGCTGCGGAAACAGGAACGAGTCGGGTTGCTACGTATTGGTCCGAGGTTAAAGGGGTAGGAGAAGTTTCGTTGGTGCCCTATTGATCTGGGACAGGCAGAGAGGAAAGAGAAGTGGCAGGGAGGACGAGGAATAGAAACGTAAAGGGAGATAGAAAGGGCCAACGTTTCATTTGACCCACCTACGATTCCCGTATACTGCCAGAAACGTATCGCAACATCCTCCCCACAGATATGCACGAATTAGTATGGTGAATTTGAATATCGGCCACGATAAACCGTGCCAACGAACCTGCACTAAACATATATTCACGTTTGTCGCCGGTGTTAACATATTATCGGGTCATCGGTCGCGCATAAATGGCACAATATCCCCTCGTAAAGTCACCACCTCTATTTACGTTTTTTTCTTAGAAACTTGGAGTACCTCGCAGCCACCCCGGATGGTTGTAAACCGTGAGGCTCGTAAATTTGCTGCTAAAATGTGCAACTTTGCCCGCCTTTTAAACTTAAAGTGTTCGACGAGTTGTTTATCTGTTTTTGAAAACTGTACGTTTAATTCCGTTCACGTTAAAAATCACGGTAGAAAATAATCAGAATAGTTGTTGGGAACATTTCAGAACGGTCGAGTACCGGTACACCGAAGCTAATTAGAGGCTGAAATTTTTTCGCAATTTTTATCCACCTGTTTATCCTTTTTTCCATCGAGCGATTTAAATGTTCGAGTTTGATGCTCTAAATCATCGTCAGATGTTTGATTTGATATGTAGAATACCCGAAAGCACTTGTAACGCTGTTGCGAGTTTGAAGGATAGAAGAGGAAAATGATTGTGAGAGATAGAGATTTTCATAGTATCTCATTAACGACTGCAAAGGGGTGGAACGTTTACCAGTTGCAAAATGAATGATTTTCTGAAGTAGCATTTATTTGCTCACGGAGATTGAAGCTAGTTGGCTGACAGAGATCAAAGAAACTTTGAGCAACCTAATGGTTATTAAAAAGAGAAACATATAAATACGGTTATCTCGAGTCTCGAAGAAAAACCAAGTTAAACAACTTGTTTCTCAATAACGTTATCGCTTTATCTTGTTTTGTGATTGTCAAGCTACACCTTCCTCGTTATTTCTTTATTTACATTTCATCGATTACTGACGAACACACTATTCATATTGACAATGTTAACCGTAAACATAACTGTTAATTGCCCGTAATTAACCTCATTGTTGTAATAATCTGATTATTGTTATTATCGATGAGAAAGTTTCTCATCCTTCTTTTACATTCATTTCTATATCGTATTTAATTGTCAATTTATTTGATCATTTGGAAAATATAACGTATTCCTGTGTCAATGAGATATTTTGTGTAGATAAAACGTATTATTTTATTAATTTACCTTCCTGTTCATGTGCTTCGATTAATTGACTGGTCGAAATTAATTTTATTCCTCTCTGAACGTGATAGCCAGCAGCCATCCACGATTATTAACTTTCGAATAAAGAAATTTTCGGTAAATCGATCTATCAGTTTAATTACTCGATAATTTTTCATCGATAAAGCGGTAATCATTTTTATAAAAAAAAAAAAAAAAATATGACAGGTTCAGAAATAATTCATACTTTCACTGATTTAGCTCTAAAATTTTTACGTCTATTCCGTTGCTTTTATATATTACATACTAAATCGCTCTTTCGTAATTTAAACCTTTAATTTGAATTTCAATCATAACTTCCAAATGAAAGTTATGCAAAATATTTCCCTTTTATTCGTCTGTTTTCAGCGTGGAACTTCGGCATACTCGACCGTTTAATCCTCAAAAGACAGAGCTGGGTGAATCGTGCTCCGAATTTTTTACCGAAGAACTTTTATATACCGTAAAAAAAAAATTACAAATTTTGGAGATTAGAGTAAAGGAGAGTCTAAAATAGAATTCAAATTGCATAATGAAACGGTCGCGAGACAAGGAGTTAAAAGGAAAATTATTTATTCATAACTCAATCGATATCCAATCAGCAACTTCATTATACCCGCATTATTCACGCGTTTCGCCTCTGTAAATGCAACATCATCGGTTCCTGGAAAGTTCATTCGTCGCCAAAAGGAGATGCTGTCATGGTTGACGTATTACTCGTCGCTATCGAGCAAAGGTTTGTCATCTCGCTTCGAATTCCACAAGGACTTCATCGATCTTCAGATACAATGTCACATCGGTCGTTGCGGTTTAAGCATACGAAACGAGCAATCGAATTATTGACTCGTACTACTGAAACGTAGCTGAGGCGCTTCAGCGTTGAGCGCAAGTAGTACAAGTCTGTCAATAGTCAGACACGCTCGCGCGCCGACAATACTCGGTGAAAAAAATGTTCAACAATGATTTCTATAGTAACAAGTTGATTATTAAATGTTTTTCCAGTTGTTATAAAATATTTTTTCCCCTAATTATAATTCTATTCCGTCCTTCCTTTTGTATTGTTTCCGTTGATCTAATGAAGAGGCAAACAATTTCGTCGAGCAGTATATTTTTATTCGCGGTACAATTTCAAACGATTCACTTCTATTTTTTTCATGATGGAAATTTCAGTGAGTCAATGTTTTGCTTGATCACGTGATGTTATTGTTGACAGTTACCGTGCAACCAACGTTTAAACGTCGTTTCCGATTCCGAGTATCGGAAAACACAATGGAAGAAATATAGAGAAAAACGACAGGAAATCCGAGGCAAGCAATATTGCGAAACGAATATAATCGCATTGGATGCAACAATTTGTAATATCTCTATTAACTCTTGTTTGCTGTCATATAAAATAACGAATAATCCACAGTTTAGTTTCCATCAGCAGATATCCAAATTCCAATTACATATTTGTATTCCAAGATAATAATGGATTTTTCTAAATCTTACTCAACATATGAAATACGAGAGTAACGAAGTCAATATTTGCAACAGTTGTTATTTCAAATAAAACCATATAATATTGTTGAAAACAAATGGAACGGAATACCGTTTTAAATAAAATTTGTCTGGATTCGGGTTTTTCCAATTAAATTACATCACGTTGTTTCAAGGAATTGTCCAATCCTACCTTACAACCATAACTAATACTGCCCCGGACACAGTGGGAAACCGATGTTCCATGTTATTTAGATTAGTTATTGACACGAATCGCGGTGGTCACGCAATCGTCGATGGGACCGAGTCTTGATAACTGGATAATTATTCCTATCTCACGTGCAACTACCATAATGAACTGGCCACTAACTCGTGTGCACGCGAGTTTACGTATTTAATAGCACCGATTCAGGGTGGATCCCTTCGGCAACGATCGTCATGCGATTACGTTCTGATTCGTGTACCGAAAACACTGGATCATATATATAGTTGATGTTCATTTTCGCCCGCATTTGCAGTGTCGACAAACAGGAACCGATTTTTTGCACGTTAAACTTGTTTTCCAATGATTTGAAACGATGTTACACGGATATTTGCTCGTTTAATTACACAGGAAGTAAAATTAATGGTACTTTAATAGTTGGATAATCTATTTCAAATTATTGAGTTAACTTTTCTCGCCGACTAAAGGACGATCCGTGTAACAAACTCTATGTATATTAAACTAAAAGCATACCTTCTTAGCCGTCTATCAAATATTCAGTTTGGTAAATGTGGCATGGTTGATCCGATCCGAGGGACGTTCGATAGCTAACACGGTAATTGCCAGAGCGATACGCATGGGAATCGAGAAGGGGTGAATAGAAGCATCGGCGTCTTTGTCAGCGTCGTCGTGGACGTTGTTTCGACGTAAAGTTTGCCGAGCGTCGTGGGTATACAGCACGGCCAAACCCGGCGGCGTTGACAGAATTTATAGGGCTCAGCTTGCACGCGGCTTGCTCAACCTATTTTCCAAGCTGGACGAGCAAGCAAGACAAACGAACCGGCCAAGAACAGGCGAAACAGTGGAAGGAAGGGAAGGGTAAGCTGGACCGCTCGAGTTAAGCGTTGCATGTACACTGCTCCTTCCGGTGCTGCAATTAGCGCCTCTTTAGTTGGCTGAACCGTCTCGCGACGATGCCAGCCCACGGAAAGCTGACCCCGCTAAGGCCATTCTTCTCGCTTTACCCGACTCTTCTTACGGATTTTCTCTCCTCCGGATTCGGAACGTTTGCTTTCGCGGCTATGAAGATTGCCCCGAAGGGACTCGTTCCAACCCTTTCCCTGAATTTTATGTCTGTTATTCGTTCCCCCTGGTGTTTTCGAACATTGCCGCTCAATATCTCTTAAGAAGTTATAGTCTCTCGCTCCGTTTTTTTTTTCGCCTTAATTTGAAAACGTGCCCGTGAATCAATCTCAGTTAAGTAGTCCCAAGTCGAGGAATTAACTTGATAATCATGGAAAATTCGAGGGATCGAATTGCTGAATTTATCAATTTTTAAATTCAACTTGGCGTTTTGCGCTGAATTATAACAGACACGTTTAAACGAATTTGATAAATGAAAACTTACGTTCGCGTAGAGTGAAGATGTAGTAGGACTGCTTGCTGGGTTTGCTTCGTCCCATCGCGTTCACTGCTGACACACGGAAACTGTAGACGGTGAACGGGCGCAGATTCTCGATCGTGTAGTATGTATCGTTGTTAGGCGTTACGATTTCCTCTGTTGCGTTCCAAGGCCCCTCTTCTTTGATCCTGAAAACAATAACAGTTTGTTAGTTATACATAGCGTTAATATTTAACCAATAAATTTCGTGATTGTTCAAATTAAAAAACAAATCGTAAATTTCGATAACGGTGGTTTTCGTTACCGTTCATATGGTAGACGTATGCTGTCGAAACAACGGAACGATGCAAGTTTCACGTTTCACAGTTAATTGGAATCAGTAACAATGGTTCGCCAATAAGCGACTGACTACTGCGTTTAGACGTTAATGATATCGATGGATGACCGATCGATTCCGACGTATCGTGCCGCAATCGGATACTGATTAATTAATGCTCGACGTCCCGTCGTTTCGGCAAACAATAACGTTTTATAGGGATGCTGGCTAAATTCCGTCGACGGAAACATGGTTCGACGTAGAGTAATGAGTGGTCGAAGACGCAACACGCTCGCCCTGCCGCGAGATTTTACCCTGCTGCAAATTATCCCAGGCCCTTTTACCCCTAATTAATACAGGTTATTAATCGTGCGAGCCATGGGATTCGGAAACTTCTACCTACAGCTGTGCTTCGCGTAATTGCTGCAGTTTGCGGTCGGTTGATACACTTTTTGACCCGGGTTTAGATCGTTTAATCAGTTCACTAAAAACGGCTATGTGTAATAAAACGATCGTTTAGAATAATCTCCTTCCGTTAATTACCTTTTGTAAATAATCAAGTTTTAATGCCATGTAAAATTTGATAAAATTAAATTCAGAATATCGGTCAGTAATGACAGCGAACAGTGAAGAATAAATTACCAGTACTTTTTCTCTTGTTTTGTTTCGTTCTGTTCAATATACGGAGCAGCCCATTTATCACGACCACCTTGAATACATCCGTCGCTGTTGGAGGTACGAGAAAATGTCATACGACAAGTTATATGGTTCGAAGGGACATATGATGCTGTAAAAAAGTTATATCCAATGTTGGTTACAAGGTCGTTCTTTAGTCATTCATCAACTCTTCTTATAATAAAATAATACTCACAACAAATGAATACAATTGAAATTAAATTAATAATTACTCCAACGAAAATATAAACCACCGCGATATTTTTTATATTTGAATCTGTCACGGTGAATTTTGTATAACAGTATTTCCATTTTTCATCTGTTTTTCTCTCATTTCACGCCGAAACTTGGTCCAACCAACGAGCGTGTTGAAATTACAGAATTTTTAAAGCAATCTACGGTTACGTCCGTTTTTGGTTTTCCATTTCAAGCTTGAAACGTTAACAAGAATTTCCAGGCGGCATGAAACACTTCAATCCCTGTATTTTCGGAGTACTAGATCGGAAATTACATTTTGCCGCTGCTTAACGTGTAACTGGATGTATCGTTTCAATTCAGGATTTGTAGGAATAGGAACTGAGACCGCACCGCGTTTGTATCAGAAACATGATCGTTGAACACCAACTAGGTACGAACGTATCGGTTTTACCTGGTATTTACACTTTCGGTAATTCGACGAATCGTTTATCAAACATTCCCAATGAATACGTAAATTAACGTAATGATTAACGTATAGGGAAATGAACATTTGAATTTTCATGTTGCAACATATTTTACGAGATTACTTGGAAGTTCCATTTTTATATAGTTTTAACGTCCCATGGAAATTATGTTTCAAAGCTTTATCTCCGTTTTCTACAATTGAAAATGTCGAATCGACGCGGGGGAAAAAATTCTCTCCTAAAAAATTATTTTCATCGTGTCGCGTCGTGTCGCGCGCGTTTCACTACCGGCGGGTAAAATAAAACCGATAACTTGTTTCCAATTAACGTCGCTTGCTGACCGTTTATTCGACTCCTCGATTTGCTTATCGTTTGTACAAGCGGATCATTTCAATTTTGGTCACGCTCGAACACGACGCGTTCATTGGCGAGAGGATTTTTTTATCCCAACTCGCTGGTAATCGATATCGTTGTTCGCACCGTTTTAAATTCACCTCGAACCTACTGGTTTCGCGAATTGCTCTACTTGTTATTAGATTACTGTTACTGTATCGATTTCGAATCTATCGTTGTCTGGATAGAGGAAAATGAATGGATCAGCTGGGGACATTTTGATACATCTTTCGTTTTAAAATGAACTGCACGGAACAAAAGTGGAGAACATCATTTATCGTCCTGTATGTCAATTATTTTAATACACAGAAAAAGAAAAATGAAGTTAAAATGGGAAAATAGTGTAAATATATATGATACATTTCTTTAGGTATTGGAACAAGTTCTCATCTTTTAACTATGTCTTTTGTATAGTGCGAATGAATTTACCATGAGTAATCTATACTTTCCTTAACTCTAAGTACACTGCTATTGAAATAGTTTGGTACACCTGTATAAGTGTACAGTTGTAGTAAGTTCGGAATACACATCAATGACTTGTGGTATTCGTGAACATTGTTAACTATGAATAGGTATAAATGAGCCCGAAGTGCTTAAAAGCGTTCAACTGCAAGTTAACACTCCATAGACAGACAGCCATCTTGCAAATGTGTTCACGGTTTGAAGTTTACCTTCGAAATCTTCAGGTTCGTTGTCCCTTGGGAATGGAAAAAAAAATTTCGCCTCAAAAACGACAGTCGACGTTCAGTTTCACGTTACAAACTTGGAGGAAAAGTTTCGCCCTCGAAGGGACAGGACGTTCCGAGTCAACGTATCAGAAATTTTGATTCGTCTCGTTCCCTCAGCGTGACCCCGTTCAAATAAATCGTTCTCTCTAACTTTTCGATCAACGAACCTCGCTGGAAAGGGAACTGTCGCCGAAAGAAACAGAGGGCATTCGTCTTCGAGAAGAAGATTCACGTTCGCGTAAAGACGTGACAATTTCTTCCCACCTCGACCATGACCAGACGAATTAAATTGGAGATGCTCCCCTCGATAGAGTTTGAAATTACACCAAATATGCATTATTTCTGCAATAATGCAAATATTGATGACATTCCAACTATCGAAGATTCAATTGGTCCAAAGTCTAACAAACTTTGACTGGTATCATTTTTTTCTATTGAATTTTACACGCAATTTAGCTTTCAACCCCCGCATGTAACAAGTTAAAATAATCTTACATCTATCTGCTGTATCGGTTTCAGAGTATCCGTTACCCGAGGATTAATACTTTTCCTTTGCTATAGTGCTTTCAGCTTTGTCCATCCACTCTCTTCATTGAACATTTCACTCTGTGCAGCCGTGGTCGCGTGTACAGAAATGTTGAGCCACCCTCGCGACGGTGAAACTAGGCACCGTGACCGTGCTTCGAGGTTGATTATCAAAACGACGAAGCCGGTGAAAGCAGCCTCTGCAACCTGTTTGATTCCATCGCGCGGAGAGCTCTCTTTTTCTCTACCCTCTCGTAGGTTCACGATATTGCGTCGGCTCGACGATACAGAAACCTTTTATTGAACCACGTCGATATTAAAACTGACCGATATGTGCCTGCTTCTAATACCCCGATTGAATTGTCCACGGAGTGCAACAAACGTGAATTATTGTTGCGGATTCCAAGCGAGCATTCGAAATACCGTGTCGTATGATACGTTGGCGAATGAAATGAATTTCGACCTCGTGAATCGGCAAGATATTGTGAGATCTCCGGTTTCGTTGAAAGTTTCCTTCAGATTTCAGAGGATTCCTACTGTTGTTGTTCCAATACATCCGATCGCTTTTTAATTTTTCATCCTTCTCAGACGTTGCCATGAAATTGTAAACGTTGGGAAGAATGTGACGCTGTTGAATGCACGCAGACAACAGTGAAAGATAGAAGTAGATCATGTGTCGGTAGAAATCGAATGAAAATTCAATCTCTTCGCTTAAATTTTAATTATCAATAACTATTTGAGGGAACGGACGAAAAGTAACGAGGGAATAATCACTATACACAACGTGTTTCATCGTCCACTCGTACGAGTTATAACAAAATCATCGATCGATCCACCCCTACTACATATTTTTGTCTGCTCGTTCCCGGGGCGGAGCTTAATACTCGCCGTTATTAAATCATTCTACGGACGAAACGATCCATAAAAATAAAACTCTCTATATCGAGATACAACGAACGCGGTTACGAGCACTACATCATCATTGACAACCGTCTTGTAAAAATAAACTGCCACGCGAGCGACACCCCGTTATTCATCGAACGAGTTGACGCCATTCGTCTGTTATCTTGTCATTCTCCTACTATTTTCTAATAAAACAGAAACATTTTACATTTATTACCTGTCAAATAAATTAATCCTCCAACTATAGAACGAGCGGATTAATAATAAATTATCTATTAATCGCCTAGTATCGTAATTAAAATTTAAATGAAACGTTAGTTAGTCAGAAAAACTGTGTACCTTTGTTACTTTGTTACCAAAAAATCTGGTAAATTCGAAACAATTATGTAAGCCGGAAACCGGCCAGCATGTCGTAAACGTATTCCACTTGCCGAAGTTCGGTTAACGAGCAAATCACGTTACACGTGATATCGCGTTCTGAGAACACTATCTACGGAGGTTAGCCGTGCTACATTAGTCCGGGCCGTGCAATTAATTAAGTTACAAGCGGTTTAATGGGGGATCTAGTTATCTCTTTGATTGCCTGCTCCTTCGTCCGCCACCGAATTTCTCTGCCGCACTTATTTCCGGCTTTTGCTCCTCAGACCGGTCTCTCGGTATCCACTGGATTCTCTCCGTGAAACAAAGAGATCGCATCGAGGAACTGGCTCGTCGTCCACGGGATGGAGAGTTCCATAAATGATCTCAATTATATTCTTAGTTAACCGAATTAATGGATCCCTAACCCTTCCTCTCCCTTCGACCGTAATTCCGGCTAGCGAAGCTCAGCAAACGTTTGCTCTTGCACGCCTTAAACGCTTTGGTATTCGCCTCCTGTCCGTTCGCATTTTCGCCAAGAGTGACAGACGCTGCCACGTAGCCAAACGAACCGGGAACGTGTCAGTTTGTAAACCCGTTGAAAGCACGTTCGACACGACACAACATGA